TCCTTGTATCGTGGGAATGGTAGGCCGAGATTCGATGGGTGGAAAAAAACTGGATAATTTTTCGCAGGTAGAAAGGCCAAAATTTGGTGTATCCTACAAAGCAGTGAGAGATTGCTTCCAGAATATTTTCGCCAACAAAAAGTCAAAAAATAGAAGACGAGAAAGTGCAAGTGGAACTAACCCTGAGCACACAGAAAAACATGTTCTCCTTGCAAGATAAGGGAGCTTTTTGATGCAGCAATTGCTGATCAGCAAGCAGCATCGCAGCAAGTTAAAGAAAAACAAACAGCAGAAATGGAAGAAGCTGAAGAAATGAGAAGGAAATCAGTAGAAACGATTGGAGAAAGCAGGAAGAGAAAGGAAGGGTAGGTAAAAAATGTAAGTGAAAAGAAACATAACGTTCGGCAGAAAACCTTTCAAAATTATTCAAGAAAGAATCAGAGTTGACAGTTGACTCAATCCGGGCTGACTCACAATTGCGTTTGGAAAACAAGTTTAGACCCACTTTCCGTTTAGAATACAAATTGAAGAGAGTTTACCCTGGGTGAACTCAACACAGGTTAAACCCGGGTAGCTTTTTGTAGTGTAAACATGGCTTTCGATTGGAAATAACTTCCCTTGCTTTCATTATTAAGCGTCAGACGAAGAGTTAAAGTGAATTTTGTTCCACTTTTCCGAGGTATTTTGAACATTATTTCTTCTTTGTACTCATATTGTAGTTTTCTAAATGTATTCTCGGTCATTCTATAAGTTCAATTTTGCATAGAAAGAATATGCTCAATGCATTCTAAACAACAGGTTACACCATTCAATCTTTTCCTCTCTTGGGTACAGTTCAATTTTAGCTGTAAGTCAGCGCTGTGAGTTATTTTTTTCCGATCGCAGTAGCTGCCTAAAATATTCATCATATCTTTGAAACGCATTCAGATTTGTAAGAGTTATTAGTTTCTATAGACTAAACACTGAAGCAACGAACGTCGTAGAGAAATCAGTTTTGTTGATTTTCTTGATTACTTAGATAAAATATGAATGAAAATTATGGACGAAAATTTGCATAAAAAGAAGCATAAATAAAGGATTTTCCTGGGAATTCGGAGCCTGGAGAAATCCCAAACGAGGCAGGCTCAAGAAGGTACCTTTCAGAGTTGTTTTAATGTTCGCAACTTATGAAAAGTATAACTTTCGCAACATTAGATCTGCAAATTTTTTTGGTTAAAAAAGAAATTATACGTTTTTACTTTGCTCTCCTTTTCATATGAATGTATAGCGAAGGGCTGGGGGGGGGGGGATGTGAGAAGTGACGTCATTGGCAATATAATAGAGGGGTTCAGGGAGGTGGTGACACAGGGAGGCAGGGGGCCTAAAAATCTTTAAATTATAGGCGATATCATTTATGTATGACCCTGTCATGAATGTCAAATGTCTTGTCTACACTATACTATCGAACCTTGTTTCAGCTTCGGTAGGGGGTAGAGTGAACCCAAGTAATATTTTCTGTAGTGCGAACACAAAGTTACCTAGCCAAAGTTGATCTGGGCTGACTCGGCTGTAATGTTTAGAATAAATTAACATATTATGACGTAACGGTACTTAGAGTTAGTTGTAGAGCACGAGGCGAGGGAGTAAAACGTGTTACATGTGAGCACATGATTAGGCCCTTTTTAACAACATAACATCGGCCTGGGCATACTCGGCCGGGGCTGACTCGGCTCGGCCCGGGCTGACTCGGCTCGGCCCGCGTACTAATTTCTATAAAAAAATTAGTGAATACAACATGCACCTAGCAGCATACTCTTCCCCCTACAACGCGTATAAATGCTTGATGACGCTTAGCTGCACCCAAGTTTCCTTTGAAAGATTATTCAGCGCTACTGATAATTTCAAAAGAATAGAAAACTTTCCACTTGATTACGAGCAAGTCATTGGCCAATTTGCTGATTCATTTGCACTTCTTCGAAAAGAGTTGAAACTCTGAGAATTTAAATAATGTTAAACAATAGATTTTCCTGTTGTATGTCAGTGACGTAGTTTGTGAATTTGTTAATGCACTCTTGTTTGTCTGTAATCGATTACCATTCCACTTCCCATTAGTTGCCATTACTTGTTGTCAGTACCCTATTGTTTCTGGGTAATTTGTGTTTGTCATGTGTCTTCCATTATATTGCCATGCTGTTTTATGTTGAGTCAGTTGTTAGTTAAAGCCGTCAAGGAAAGTCGTTATATAGAGTCGTAGTGTAAAGCCGAGAAGTAGAGTCGTGTCGAAGCCGTTCCGTTTTATGAAGTTGCAGTTAACCGTCAAATTCAGTACAGTGTACCCGCCGAACATTATTGCCGCCGACGAATATTGCTTGTTGTATTAAATTGCTTAACTATTGCTTGTGGTTTATATCGCCGATTATTCATATGTTCTGCTTCTTGTTGGAATAAACTGTTGTTTCCTTTGTACTGGACTAACTAGGGCCATTGTAAAACAGTGTCGTTTTACAATAAGTTTTGATCTTGACTCTTAACTCTACATGGGATTTTAAAGCCTGTTTATACGAGAGGAAAGGAATGGATCCAATTGGGTCCGAATTTACGAATTAAAGTCGATATACTGCTGCTGTTTAGCGTATTGCTTTATTATCAATTTTTATTGAATCAATCGTATTCTAAGCCACATTTTTAGTGGGTGTGGCTCAATTTTACCCGCTACGCCCTAAACCGGGCCCTTGAGTTTTCTAGCCACCCTGCGTGCGGTTTTGAAATAGTTTAAAGATATCAATGATTATATAAAATCAAAAATTGGTTACCATCTTTAGATTCTGTTATTAATTTCCAAGCATTGAATTATGGCCTATTTTCTCTTTTTCTAGAGTTTGGCCTAGATATTTCATAGCCGTTACTGTAAACAAACAAAGAAAAAGTAACTAAATCACATCTTTGTACAAATGCGTTAAGAAATTTATGCATTGAGTGGCTAAAGATTGTTGCTGGATCCGTTTTAAAACAGATCAATCATTATTTTCTGGAATTTCGACGAGACAGAAAACACCACAGCAAGCACCGCGACTGTAAATGCCTGGAATTTGCGAACGACGGCTTATTTTTCCAATATTAACATCAATGCATAAATTTAAGTGCAATTTAAGGCCACTCACCAAATATCACATCGAGATTCGAAAGAGAAGTGAACGAAATCAATCCTTACTTTTACCAAATTTATAAGGGCTCGGTATGGAGCAAGTTCCTTTTTGCCACTATTCAAAATGGCGGAAGTAAACAAATTTGCCTCACAATATCATTGCGTAGAACCCCCCCCCCCCTTCCAAATTGTAGTAGGATTAATACTTTGTTTATCACTCTATTGTTGTAATTGCACATGCGCACTGTAAAGAGTATAAAAGTCTTGTTATTGTAATTAACAGAGGGTTGTTGAGTTGCAGAAGAATGATTATCTTGTAATTATATTTGCGTGTTGATATTATGGTGAAAATTACAAAGTTGAGTTTCCCTTAGTGTGAAACTAAATATAACATAAAGCTCTACCACAAAATGAAGAAAGTTTGGAAGGGGGCGTCTACGGCGTAGGCTAGACATCTAGCGACTTCTTCGCTTTTACCACAGGGCTGTCCAACCTTTTTCCAAGGAGGACCACTTTTAGGCCCTGTTCACACGGGATCAGATCTGAAAATAGTTGCGTTTATACGGGATCGGATCCGTATGGATGTGTGCTCACTCCAATAACGAAATTTTGGCGGCAATTGTTCAACCTCAGAAGGGAGAAAATAATTGCAGCGGCTCTACATGCCACCTCTCTCTATTCTTTGACACAACAGCTGCACACGTCACACCACACTTGAAAATTTCAAGGCATTGAATATTTTAAAACTAAACAAGTTCAAGGTTTCTTACTTTTCAGAAATGATGTGTCCCCTCTTGCCAAAGCAATAATCTCGTGGAATTATAATTATGCCAACTTTTCAAAATATCATTTGGAAAAGTGTATGTAGCCAGAGGGGGCAAATGGTTGTTAGCACTTTCATTTGGGTGGCACAGTCCCCCGTGCCCTCTGCAGCTGCGTGCCTGCCTCAGAATCAGGTAATAACTGGAGGGCCACTGATATATCTATATTTCTATATATGTTAAATAGATAATCATTTTAAATTAATTTGGTTAACATTTCGCTATACGCTTCTTCAGAATAACTTTCACTGGAGCGTAAAATAGAGTTTTACAGGCGGGACTGTAGAAGACTCAGCCCCCTCTGCTTTTTGGAGAAAGGCTGCTCTCCCTCCTCTTTTTTCTTGGTAATTTTAAAGTATCATTGCTAATTTCTGCTAGGATCAAATATTTGATTAACCGATATTACTTTTTGATGTTTGCATTCATGTGGGTCCTCAATTACTGAAAAATGAATAAATGCTGGCAAAATTTTACTACTTAAACTCCTTACTTTTAAGATTTCTCTACTCAAGTAATAGGTAGACATTGGAAGATGATTAACCCTAAAAATGGAAAGCTAGAGAAATTGTTATTGAGGAGCCATGCAAACGAAAACAATTGAAATATTCACTTTGTATACAAAATAGAGAAAGCTCTATAGCCCCTCTACATTTTTTGGCTCTACATTAATGCTTACAAGACAAAAGAACAAAAACTAACAGATTTTACAAGCGAAGTTTCTAGGCCCATAGGAATAAATACAATAGATAAAAGAATAATTGAACAAATATGAAGACAGGTGGTAAACCATCCGCAATAGCACAAGAAAAAGTGGATGATGTCTGTCCTAAATAAAATAAAAGAAGAAACTAGCCACAAAACAAGACCTCTTTCTCAGAGAAATACCCGAGAAATAGTGTGTGCTTTATAACAACATCACTATATCTTTTTCTATTCTGTGACTGTACACTCCCCCAGCCGTGGATCTTATCATCGGCACCTCGCACCCACCGATCTCTTAGAGATCAGTGCTCCCACCTCCTGTCTCGCCTAAAAATCCACCTCGTTTTCAAGGTGAGGCATATCTGAAAGGGATGGATGTTGTTAACCTTTACAACAACAATTCCTGTAATTCCTCAGAGGAAAGGAAATGTTTTCGAATGTCAAAGATGTCAACAAGAAACAAGATTTTCTTGGAAAGACACAAAATGCCAGACAATCACGCGCCGAGGAGAAAAAACGCGAGCAAGGAGCTATCAAGATTCAGGTAGGACTGGCATGCCTCTCTGAATTGTGCCAGTCAAGCATCAAAATTTGAACGAGAATATTAAATGCACTCATACAATTTACCTCCTTTCACATTCTAGATCACGGAAAGTGCCATAATTTCCATACAGGTGCTGCTATGAGCATAAATCTTACATACATTAACAATAAAGAATTTGTAACAACTTTTCAAAGTGATGTCGGGTGACAAAATTTTTTCGTGGATTTTTTGCACATCAGGATCAGTGGTAGTCCTAACTAAATATTATAAGAGGTTAAGTCATACAGTTTGCTTAATATTCAATCCTACCGACTCCTTGACCGTGGAGACTTGACTTGTGGTCTGTATGGGAATTTGCACTAGCTGGGAATTTGGCGTAATCCCCAGGCAGCATTACTTACAAAACAAATTTCAGAAAAATAAAAATAAATGCAGTTTATTTTCTCAGTTTGTATGGAAGCAACTCAAAGAGATGCTTTCAGCACACAAAAAGGACAATCTCCAATAGGAAAAGGTGGTTTGGAAATTTTGCTGTCTGTAAAATTCAAAATTCGTGTTAAAAAGTGCAAATACCTTGAACTAATGAAAAATAGTACAATTGTCAGGGGCACCAGAGCCAAGGAGGGAGTGGGGGCAGCAAAGTGCTTTTTTAAAGAAATTGGTTTCTGAGCAATATTAATTTATATTCTATATTCAAATGCTAATATAATCTAGGTTTCAAGTGTCTCTTGATTCCTAGATGCAAGAGGAAAGTCAAATATTTTCCATGTTGATGGGAATTGAAATTGGTTTGCAAATCAATCTGACCAAAAAGTTATTGTTTGTCATTTCTTAATTCAAGAATAAATTCAAGACATTCTATTCAAGACGAATCTTGAATCAAGAAATTTCATGCAGCACAGGAGCACTGTATTCATATTCAACGCTTTTAACATAAAAGGGTCCTTTTGCTTGTCTAGGTGGGCTCTTTTGAATTCCCACTTGTTGAAATCCCTAAAAATATCCTGAAGATTTAGCTTGAATTTGGTAAGCAGTACTAGAATGCACTTTATTCTTATAACCCAGTACGAAAGTCTCTGGCTTATAAGAATAGAGTCATTAGTATTTGTTTTGATTTACTTGTAAGATCCTTATGGAAGCCCTGGTGCAGTCTGTAATTTCAAAGAAAGTTTTGAAGCATTTTTGAAGCCTAGTTGTTTCTTGGCAGAAGTAAATTTAAAAGAATCTTCTGCTCTCAAGATCACAGTATGTTAAGAGGAGTTCCAAATGTCCATTGGATCCAGCCTCCCTTGATGGTTAATATTGGGTTTCAAGAAATAATTTTCAATAGTTTGACTGTAATCTTTATTCCAAGGTATTTTTATAGGAGTGGCCAACTTTTTTCAAAGACTTTAGGGCATGATAATGCAAAATTTTCCTGGGACCTATGCTGCCAGACCTTCAACCTTTTTCCCTTGACAGGGCCTTCACCTGTACACAAGGCTTCGTTGCTGGCTAAACAATGATTCCTGATTTGATTAAGCAGTAAACTTTGACACCCCAAGGTGCCCTTCCTGTGGTTCCTGCCCACGCCCCATCAAGAAGTGTTGGCATGCCTCTGAGAGTTGGGCACCTTGGACATTTATTTGATTTCTGACCTCATAAAGTAGTTTTTCTATGTGAATTCTCAAAATTCTTAAAAGCAAAGAATTTCTTCCTTAATAATTTTGGTCTCATTTAAAATTTAGGTGAATAAATTCCATCTAAGTATTTGTCTGAAGCTAATGTGCTACATAAAAGTAGAGTAAAGGAATGTTATTCTGCTATGTACAGGCCTTTTCGTAAGAAATAGCCTACACAAGTTGCCCATCGCTAACGAGATTTCTCTTGCCGGAGCGATCGCTCTGACTGTTTGCAGTAACATCAATTGAAAATAAACTGTTATGATGACCTTTAATGAACTCCAAGAAAAAATAAATACCAAATACAAATGTGCTTCATTTATAAACTTTATGTATATCATAAAGGTCATATAGACATTATTGCTGGATGATCACAAAATGTTGTTAAGAATCTGCCATACATTTCACACACAATATTTGTTTATCTGGTCGTGTTTCCCACGAATATTTCATCATTAAAACTTCTGACTTCTGATGACAAGAAGAAACAAAGAATACAAGGTCTCTTTGAAATCCTTTGCTTCAAATTCTGCACACAATTTTGCGGGAAACGCTTGATATCTGCAAATTTCAAAATTAATGTTCTGGCATTCCCCGTGCAGAAAAAAATACTTTACAGTCTGGCTGTCCAGAAAATGTCATAAGTGCTATTGTACTTCAAATACTAGTACCTAAAATATTCCTAAACATTTGCTGTGGAATTGATTTTCAAATGCATTTTTGTTGAGATGTGGTTTGGTCAGCTTACTTATATTTCCTGTGTTTTGGTATCCCGGCTTTGTATTGTCTATGTCACTTGCTTGGGTCACCAAAGATAACTAGAATTGTGTTAATTGATGAGATATTTATTCCTAACAATTTACCGTTTTGTGTGAGCGATCAAACGCTCACATGGATGGGTTTGTGCGAGTGCTGATGCGATTGTGAGTGATCGCTGGTGTCAAACAGAAAGGCCTGTATGTATTTCATAATTGTTTGTCCAATACTTTTTTTACCCAAAGTCTGAACCCAGAGTTTTATCCTGTAGCCATTTGAACAAAGTTTTTTCTGTAAAATTTTTCCTTGTTTCTTGTTCACTTTCCTGAAATAGCCTATGAATGACAAATTTTGTCTCCTATCATAAATTTACATGATGATCTATTTGGTATATTTGCATTTAATGAAAATGTAAATTCTGGAGTTTAACATGAATATGTAAAATGAAATTTGAGAATAATCCATTCTGTTGGTTCAAAGTTCAAAATTTAAAAATAAGATTCTTGATTTTAGGCAATCATCAGGCAGTTTATCTGCTTCAGAAGGCTAAGGAGAACAATATGGTTAGCATGATAAATTTAAAACTGCTTATCTAAATGAGAATGGTGTTTTTCATTTCATTTATTTGACACTTTTGAGACATAGGTTTATGCTCTAGAACTTAAACTGTGATGTTAAATTTGGAAACTTGCATATCCCAAACTACACCCTCAAATCTCTTTGCTGCAATCTTAGAAGATGCTGCTACTTTTATGCTTGCTGTATATTTTCATGCCACTGGCAGCTAGCACCTCAAAACTTAGAGTTATTTGCAGCTATCCATAGCTAAACTGTGCAGGATAAAGATACACAATAGTACAAAGTAATCAGTTTTTAAGCTCTTGTTATTCCTTTAATGTATAATTTGCAAGTAAAATGTTGCTCTGCTTATAGATATTTTAAATCAAAATCCATGTAGAATTGAAATAATTTAATGTTTGGTTATTTGGGGCTTGTTACCTATTTAAAATTGCTGCTTCTGGATAGAGAATGGAAGGAACATCAAGAACTCTTATTTCTTAGGAGCAACTTTGATGCCCTTGTAGTTGATCCAAACAAGAAAGATGAAGTAAAAAGGAAAATACCAGGTAGGAACTAAGGCTTTTAAGAAAAATAAACTAATGAGCTCTCAAACATTTTGGAGACACAGATAAATAGCTGTGTTGAAAATTCTTATGGCAAAAGCTCTTAAATGTTATCATATTGCTTCATTGGTAAAATAAAAAGCTTTTTGAAAAGAATTGCTATATAAATTTTTGGAATTAATTTCGATAGTATTGACACCAAAACCAACAGTTACTCTAAGAAATTTTTTTTTACCAAATCAACCCATTTATGATTGAATGGCTAGTTTATTTAAATGTAATTGAAAACTGATGTGGTAATTTACAGTCATGCTTTGTAATCATTTTCTTATTCATTTCTTTTCAGCTTTGTCAATATTCAAAGTGGCAAATGAGCTGTTGTTTATCTGTAAAGGTGGGGATAAACAATCAATCAAAAGGTTCCAGTTATTATGTAAAGTTATTCTTTTAAATCTGGAAACTGAGAAAGATGCAAAAGTAAGTTTCCTTGTCAAGCAAATGAAATAAATATCACATTATTTTCTTGAAACTTTTGCTGCTAAAGTATTGTGGGCTCTTTTTACTTTGAACATTGTCTAAATATTTGTGTTACTTATCAGCAGAGACAGTATGAGCTGATATGAACCTATAATGGCAAAGTTATATTAAAGGATAAACAGGTCTAGATTAGAAGAAAGTGACTGAAATGTGTTCATTCCTTGTCATCACCAGTAATTGAATATTTGAGTGTGCAGCCACTTTACAATAAAAAGCAAGCTGAAAAACTTATTTTAGTGAATTTATAGTAAAAAGTAAGTTTTTACCATTTCTAGTATTGGTACATGTCTGTAATGCTATCAAAAGAACATACTGTTCAATGGATGCAGCAGATAAAGCAAATTTTGAATATCTGCTGTAAACAATTGAGAAAGTTAAAGGTATTTCCATTATTTGTTGTATTCATTTGATCTTTGAGTTTTAATTTTTTTTCTCTTTAAATTTTTTTGCAAATACCATACTCAAACATTTAATTATGTTTGATTTGATTAAATTAGACATTATTTTGTTTCTTTTGTTGTTATTGGTATCTCTATGTTCAACCATTCATAAAGATTTTAGCCTAATTTGAATTATAAATTATTTTCAGCCCAACATGCACCAAGATGCAAAAGCAGCAACTGTTTATTTGTCAATGGTATGTGATTGTTCAAATATTACATCATAATACATTTGATGTATGTCTGTTTGTGGACTGCAGATAAAAATATTCCTGACAAGAATTTGTATGTTCTCTAAAGTTTGTCACTTCCTTTTTTATTATATCAAGCCGCATGTTAGTTCTTTTTCATTTAATGAGTTATATTTCACTACTGAAGATCAAAGTAGAAGCTATTAAAATGTCTCAAAAAGTTGAAAGAAATAAATAGCCTATCCACGTAATTGTTTACATAATTTCGAAAATAGAAAACTAAATAGAAACATACTAGGAAAATGAATATTTATAGGAACTTGTGATGAGTTCACTTAAATATAATAAAGTGATTTTTTATTAAAGAATTACGTTTTTCTTTCCTTACAGATCGTAGTCTTTACAGACTGCAAGGGGTGGAAAATTCTGCAAATGAAAGGAGGTATTAGCAATATAACTGCATATTGTTTAATTTTATGGAACAGAGCTCCACTGCTGAGCTGTTAGCATGCTATTTTTACCAGAATGTTATCTATCAAGAAAATAATTTTTTGCACCAAAAACCTTTTATACGGAATTAATTTAAACCTATTTGCTTTTCTTCCAGCAAAGTTTCATCACCTCTTTGCTTGATGAAAATATGCGAATCTTCTTGATGAAATTGCCATTTAGAAACTTCTTCAGTCATTGAGCAGATGCTTAGCCTTAACTGTGTTTGCGAAATTCACGTCGGTGTTCTCTTTGTTCCGTTTTAGGTGAAAATATCAAAGTTGCTATGCAGCAGCTGTGTGCAAATGTTTTAAACGATCTTGTCTCTAAAGGGTTGTACTCATCATTACAGGTATCCAGGATTGTGTTATTGTTAAAGAGATCCATTGTCGATAAGATTGACCAAATATCAATCGACCGTCGACCCACTTCCCCAAGATGTACATAATTCATTCAATTCTATTATGCATCAGCAGACACCTTACTATAGTTAGGCGAGTTCTTGATTGGTGTGAACCCTACTTTACTTTCTATGAATTTTTGCTGTTTAAAGAATATCGAGCAAATTTAGGCTTGAGGCTAGTTGTCTATTGTTATCAAAATATGAACTGCAACAAGGTGAAGGAAGGTTGTCTTCTGGAAATCACGTTTTCGCTTTCTAACGACATGTGTTCCTTCTTTGATGTGACCTGCATATGTGCAACCAACAGATTGTTGAAAATTTTTATCATAGGAGATTGAATTAATATGCTGCTCCTTCGTATTTATTACGAAATTGCCGGTTAGTCCAATCAGACTCTGGTAATTATATCTATATGATACACTGAAATCTTTGACTCTTTGAAATCTTTGAAATCTTTTTCTCTCTTATTTTTAGGATTTCTTGTGTAATGGTTTAGCTAGGACCAATATCGCTTTGAACCAGACATTGCTCACTGCTGCTACTTCTATGAGTTTCAGGTTTGAATCTATTCTTCAATAAAAGTGTTGCTGGTATTCGTTTTATTTAGGATAAAAACGTATGAGCTGTTTCACCTTCTTAAAGTGCCGCGTGTTCGGTCATTAGTTTCGGTTCATTCGTTGATCGTCCATTGAAATATCATCGTTCTCATCCACTTATATATCATCGTTCAAGAGACTCGCGTTTCGCTAATCACTCAGGTGGTCCTTCTGAGTGTTTCGTGTTGCTGGTGTAAAGGAAGGAAATTTACTTGACTTTGAAACATGTTCACAGTGTTTCTCCCAAAGCACAAGTTGAAGAAAACCCAATTTATATATTTATATATTTAAATGAGCTTTCGTTTTTACAAAACAGCTTTAATGAATACCGATCTTTTCGTTCTTTCTTGTGCAAGTCTTGATAAAAATTCTTTTATTTGATGTAAATTGCACTACGCATATGTTTGTTTTGAATGAATCTTTACTGTTCACCTCTAGACCACTGGAGGTATCTGCATTTTCTAAAGGTCCGTTGATTGTGTTTGTTCTGCATATTCTGAGCATCCCTGCTATAGTGCTGCATTTACAGAGTATATCTGAGGAGGTAAGCATTCAATCGTTAGTAATATATCAATATTTTTGGAAGATTTTTTCGACTCCGGAGAACATATTTGTTTGCAAGTATGGAATGCTTGAAAAAGTACATCGATGAATGTGATGTACCCAGTCGGGAACACATAGAGCTAATAGGAATAAAAGTGACATGAGGCCTGTATCTACGGAAGATCCCATTCATTGGTGCGTAGCTTGTTAAACAGAATATCAAGATGACAAAAATGATATTTTTTTTTCTCGTTAACTAAAATGATATTTTTCTCAAAAATGATATTTTTTTCTGAGTTGCATGCTTCAGTCAAAGAACTTTCAAAGTTTTTGATTACAAATCGAACTTGAGTGAAGAACTTGAGTAAAAGTTTTTGGAGGCCCAATTTGATCGGAAGCCCTTAGTTATCGAACAAGGATGCCCTAAACTGCATTTCACCACTAGATGCAGCCCTTGATTCCAAAAAGTGATGGAGGGAAGGTGGCTTGATTATGTTTGTTACAACACAATACGTAAAAGCTAAGGTGTATTAAATGGATTTACAAGAAATACGGAGTGCAAGAATTGTGTTGAGTACAAAGCTCAGTTTTTGCCAATACTCTATTTTTTTCATGAAATAAATTTTGAATATATAAAAGCTCAAGAGAATACGTGTTATTCTGGCCATCAATATAACATTCGATATAACTGTAGTATTTACACATTTTTGTAAATTTTCTTTAGATACTGGGTTAGTTTTTTAACTCTGAGATTCCAAAATAATCAGTATTAAATGGTAGCAATGTTCTTCTTGTTTGTTTGGCCTATAACGATTAGATTCTAACAAAATTGAAAACAAGTCTTGCCTATATGTTCAGTTCTTTTATTTACCTGGTGTATGTTACTGTCAGCACTTTTGACCATGGCAAGTCAACGAATACTATAACCTCCGAAAATCGATCTCAAAACTGTTCCTTAAAAACAGCCAGTTTTTCTACCTCAGTTTTATCAATCCTGCTTTCGATCTATGTTTTTTGCCAAAATCTATTGCAAAAAGCGATACGATTCCCTTTCTATCCCGCCGGACTTCCAATTGCTAACAGCGCTTATGTGGATTTATAAGAAGGTAAAGAAGATCTATTGTCCGAAGTTTTTCGTACACCGAAGCTTTTGACATATTAGAGAGTATGTTCAAACAAGGCATTTTATTAGAATTGAGCTTGAAGGTGTTTCATAAATCAATTATCTCCATGTTTGTAATATTTGCAATCAAGTTGTGATTTAGGAAATCGTTTGTTTGGCTGACAGTTTTTTAATCTGTATGCTTCTTATTTCATTCCTGGAGGGTCTCAAAATGTTTCTTGATAACGGCATATTCTACAAGAGTATCGAAGCATTGTCAGTCAACCAGGATATGAGAATTGTCTTCAATTCACTGGAGGGGAACAGAGCCCTTTGTTTGCTTGGTAAGTTTACCGTCACTTGTTTATTCGCTGATCTAAGTTCTTTGAAGACACACGACGGATATAAACGCAAGTTATCTACAAAAAGCCCTATTTTTAATCGTTCTGTTGCAATTACTCAAATGCAGTTTTAAATTTTAAAATATTGATACTCCTGTTGTTTTGTGTTTTTACGACATCTGAGCGGAGTTAATCAAACTTAAATAAGGCATATCACATCCAGCGATTATCTATTGGCCTGCGAAAACTATTTGTTTTGTTTTAATCAGAAGAACAGAACAAAGATGTAACAAGAGTCACGTGCAAGATCTCATGAGCAAACCTCATTGGTCATCTATTCTTAGCTTGCCCAGCCCAGGCCTCTGGCTTAAGCCACCACTTTTATACCAATTATGTATCTTTAATAATATCTATATTTGAGCCACTGATCTTGATGAGTTATTATATTTGATGAGACATTCGAGGTATTTTAGGAGATGATTAAATTATCTTCAGGGAACATAATAAACCTTGCGCATCTGGAAATCAAAACAGCAGAGAAGAGGGTCATGGATTTCAGAAATCTTCTTGTGGTATGCTTCTCTCGCCTGTTTCTATTAAAGTCATTTATTAAACTTCTACTCAAATAAACTTAAACTTGTTATTTTTCGAGTAACCATATCAACAGTTTGCTTCAGCTGGAAGCATCTGATATAAGCTCTTGCTGTGGCTGTACATGAAACACAGAACTATTAATAAAAGAATTGTATTATGTTATTCTATTATTGTATCTTTATTCGTGATTCTTTGATTACACTGCCTTAGGCCATCGACACTATGGAAGCGACTCGCTTGTGTTTTTGTGATTCTTCACTCTAGCGAAATGAAAAACTAACTAACTAGAAATCTATTGGTAAAATATATGCATATGTGATAGCTAATTATGTAAAACAAAGAAGGTAGCATAAGAAAGAAAGGGCTAGGCCGAGTGTGAATAGTTTACGAATAGAGGTGTAGATAGCTGTGTCCGATTGATGGAGGAATGTAATATTGTGATGAGATAGTGATGTGAAGAAATTCCTGTAGGTAAAATAAATAAGGTGAAAAATAATGGCGATAAATGAGGAATAAATGAAATAGTTACAGAGCTGTCAAGTGTCACTTTGTTCGTTTCTAATTTTGAACGTCATAGAAGCACATTAAATAATTGCTTAGTTTTTATAAACCACCTCATTGTATGATATTTTTCCTTTGTAATACGTTGCCTTCAAAGTCTTGTTATGTCTATGCAGGAGGTAATTCTGGGTATATTGAAGCACTGTCAGACGTACGTCGTTAAAAAACAGTCAAATCTTACAAAATGGCATCCAGTTCTTGGCTGGTTTATGCAAGCAGATGATACCAGGTTTGTTATTGTCATAATCAACAAATAAACTAGAGTGTTAGATGTTACAATATAATGTAAATAAATTGTACCAGGAATAAAAAATTGATTAAAAGAATAACGACGTTTCGAGCATAGCCCGTTATCAACACAACGATAACGGTCTTTCAAATGATGACAATGGCCTTATCACACCAGTTCCAAATAAAAAGTTTTACTCTGTTTACTTTTGAAATCAGACTAAAATGAAATTTTGACTTATAGATATCAAAGCTTAATAAAGTCATTGCTGGAATCGCAAGACCTTATATATTGTCATTCCCGAATTGTCAATTTGAAGGCCAATCTTTGGTACCAAGAGGAAAAGACTTCCGAATTAGTCACAGGCACCTGTTGGAGCAAGCCATGTAGATTTACTTCAAGGCTGAAGTTGAAAGATGTATTTTCAGACTAATTAGCAGTATCGACTTTTTGTACCACAAGCTACCGACCAAAACACCAGCTAGTTTTTTACAGGCCGGCTTTCTACTTGACTTTTTAGGAAAGTTTTCTCTGCAAGCAACTATCATTTTCCTATAGATTCTCGCATAAGACGTGTCAGAGCTTAAAATATTCACTGAAAGTAAACAACAAACATGGGCTGAGAATGTTGATAACTCCATTTCTACCGTAGTATCACCAAGTAGCGTACAACCCTACTTTTTCTTTTAGTTGGATCTCAGATACCATGGTTCATGTAAATTCGCAGCTGCGACTGCTATGGAAGCGCCAGATGGTTGACATACTCTTCGCAAGCCTACCAAATGTTGCCGTTGAACCTTCCACACCCTACCCAATACAATCGATAAACCAAAAAAAGTCGTCTGAAAAAGGTAACGGACAGCAGCTCTTTTTGCTTTTTTAGCCGTTGCTTCCCTGCAAATCTGTATCATTGATTAGGACAGTCTCGACCCTGTGGTAAGACCGTGAGTTTTTCTTTTAGTAGACTCCTGCAAATGTTTTGTATCTTAACTCTGTACTATGATATACTGTATAAGGAGTATTCATTCTGTAGTGAGTTTCCGATTCACACCTTGCAAAACAAAGACGCTGCATAAGTTGCTGCAGTCTTTGTCCTTAAATTTTCTTAGATCAAGAAGTCTTCGGGTTTGGAGTTATTTTGTAATCATTTCAGGCATAATAATTGCAAAAATTGTGCGCATCTTGTTATTTGTTTGTTTGTTTGTTTAAAGGACTGCTCAGACGAGCTTTCGGGAGATCCGTCAAGTCAATGCAAAAGTCTGGCTATAGAGACCTTAAGGATCCTGTTGTTTTAGATGTATGTCAAATCTGTGAGATGTACCAAGTCCTTGCTGCTACCCTTACACAACTAAGAATGGAAATATTTTCAGGTTCGTTGTTCTATTCAGTTTAAGATTCAGCTCTTTCAAGATAAATTAATTGTATGTTTGAAACTTTGTCGAGGATAAATAAAATCTCAAAGTAAACGCTTTTGTCACGGTGCCGTGGAATACAACTTTTTAAAAGCTTTCCGTAAACAGTAGTAAGCCAAAACTAGATGGAAAGGGTTGAAAATCTAAAAAAGTGTCCAAATTTCTGTACAATACATCAAAACTTCGAACTGCAGATCTAGACTTAGATGAATTTATAGCAGAGGAAATGACAACTGAATGAATTGAAAGCAAAATCACAAAGCACATAAAAAATTTCGCTAGAAGATAGCATACAGTGATAAAAAAAGTCGCAAAAAAGTATATTAACAAGTCCAATGATGTTTTCTGATCATTTTGATGTATTTGTTTGTGTTTTCCAGCACTAAGCCTAAGTGAACAAATAATGGTGCGACTTTGGAAATTTTTGTACTCTCTTGGCCCCGATGGTGGACTCAAAGCTATCCTGAGTTACGTCACTGGTGGATCAGATTCATTACCAGATTCCCTGGATGCGCTGCTAACTTTATTTTGTGATTGCTGCTCTCAGCTGCTGCCGATTGTTGACGACGGGGAGTTTTACGAACAGCAGAAACCTTTTACAATCGAAGAATCCATAAGAATGTCTTCATTTCTGAATTCTCTGGTGTTTAAAATGATATGGACAAGGGAATCGGACGGTAAGTTTTTATCCCGCCCTTTGATTTGTTTTTATCTATCTAGGCGTGTTTCTGTACTAGTTAAGCTATTGTGCAAAACCAAGGGGGGCTATGACCAAACCAGAGGGTAGTTTTTGAATAAGCAGCAGTTAAAGTCCTTTCAGAGGTAGCTGCCCTTGCCATATTGTTACCAAGTAAAATTAATCCGAATTGGTAGTCAACGTTGATGTACAGCTCAAATGTTTTTCACTAAAGTTTGTGTGTCTCATTTCGATTAGATCTAGATGTTTCTTTTATGTATCTTTCAATGTTTCACCATGCCATTTTTATCATTTAGACATTGAAGTGGTAATTGATGGAACGGGTTTTTTTTGTATCCAGCATTATAGAATCTCTTGATACAATAAAATTCCTAACAGTATCATGCAGAGTTCTAAATGTGTCGCATCGATACTGGTGTATGCGCATGATATACAAAGTATTCAATAAACTACCCTTAATTGTGCAAATTTTCACGAATTTGATATGATATCATATGATCAGATATAATACTAGATGACTGATTTTTTTACTACTCTTGTTTATATAATCCTGAAACCTCAACAGCTGTGTTACACTTCTTTTATTTTATTCAAATTGAAAGCAACATTAAATGTAAGTCTTTCTCGCAAACAACTATGAGTTGTAAGACACTCCAAACATAGTTAAACTTATGTTTTTGCTTCAGAGGTTAAGACCAAAAACGAAAAAGCTTCCGCTTCGAAGGCTGCTTTAAAAGACTCCGCATTTATGAATTCAGCTCTTACGTTGTTGTTGCTGTTGTATGACCGTGACTGTAGAAGGGCTTTCATGCCACCTGGCCATTGGATCATCAAGTAGGTTATGTCAAGAATATAATATTATATGTTCCTTGGCAATTTTGTAAACCTTTTGAGCACTTTCACTCATACCCCGTATTGTAACTAGTGGGACAGAGGTTTTTTATCTACTGAGTAGACAAACAACTGAGAGTCTTCAAAAAGATACCCCCCCCCCTCTCACTACCCCCCCCCCCTCTCACGTTGTTCTAGCAAGAGTATGTGAAATGACTTGAACAACTATTTATTGCGCACAGTTTATTCCAAAACTGAATGTTTATTCTTCAGCTTGCACATGTCGCGGGAGTATTCTTAAAAAAGCGTTATTGCTGGAGTATTCTTAAAGAAACGTTAGCAGCGAACCAGTTAGTAGGTGTTAAGAAGGGAAAACGAATGGGAAAGAGAGAAAAAAAAGTATGCAAACATTACTTTTCAAGAATAAGGTTATTGCTGAAGTCTTATTGGAATTTATTCTAGAGGACCATGCTGCTGCAATACTTTCAAAGACAATGAACTTTTCCGCTTTAAGGAGAATGAAAATTGATTTTATCTCCAAAATCAAGAAAAGTAGTTTGACAGGGTTATGTCTAATGGATAACAATTTTTGATCTTTAAATATTAACTTATTTTAAGAGCATAACTAGGATCCTAGGTAACATAACATAACTGCTGCAGAGACACGCAAACATCCTATAACTTGACAATTTAATTAGACATTGAAAAATTATTTACTTGTTGTGACACCACGCAGGGAAATTCAAATCAGTTTACTAAAGGAAATGTGAGATAAATGAGACACATAACATATTAAATTTATTCCGAAAATATCGTTGGAGTAAACATAACCTTGTACTATTACATGGAATCCAATTTTACAGCAAATTCCTCAAAATTTTTATTCTGAAAACCAAGTTTGAAGAGTAAACCATACATATTTCCAGTGCCTCCTGTGTTTCATTTTACCTGACAAACAATTTACCCCTTAATTAAAATCACGCATTTATTGTTATTTTAACATTATTCTCTCGTTTTTTATGTTATTTTACAAAATATTCTTTACCAATGTTTGATTTGAGGTACGGATATCATGATGGGGACCCCCATTACATTCTGTGCCAAGAGCCCCTAAATTCTTAATCCGGCCCTTATTGCGCATACTTTCAGACAACGACGGCGGATGGCCCATTGTTTGGTGAAGTTTCAAATTAGATATAGCCCATTATCAAATGAATTCTTGTTTTTCATTTGCCCCCATAAAAGTATCGACTCTTCTCAATAAAGAAAAATCAGTACCGGCCTAAATTGAAGCTTCGTAGTGAAAACATTTTGAAAAACTCACTTTTAATCACCTTGATATATTTTTTCAATTAATGCAGGTTCTGACTTGAAGGATTCGTTGAAGTTTCTGTAATTAAAGTTTTTTTGAAGATGAAGGCTGAAAGCAACATGATTATTTTGTCATGATATATTTTTGCATCTTGTAGGGAGATAAAAACGCGTCACTTTTTGGCCGACCTTGATGCGGAAAAAAAGCGAGCGATGGTTGTTTTGAAGAAGATACCTCATGTAATACCGCACAATGTGGTAAGGATTATGTTATCCAATAACTTTTTTTCCTTTGGAAGAGCTTTTACAGTTATCCAATTACTCAAAGCATTTGTGTCTTAAAGAAAAGCATTTGTGTCTCTTGTTTGAGTGGCTTTTACTTATTTATTACCTCGGTCATATGACAGGTTTTTGAGATAAACTTCCGGCTCATATCGAATTAAGGGAAGAAGCAGCCCCCCCCCTCAATCCCATAATTTCCACCAACGTCTCAAACTGCTCCCATAATTTCCTCGACCCCATAATTTTCACCAACGTCTTATACTGCCTGATGTTATATTAAGTGTGGAAATCAATCAGTGTGAAAAAATGCCAATATTTGGTTTATTTCATATGTTGAGTTCTTTGATGTTCAAAGTACTCATTTTTTGCTGTTGTTTCTGCAACTTAATCAAAGGATCACTGCTAATTTGATAAGACTATTTTCTTTACTAGCATCAAATGATGTGAGAAATGCTATGAAAATTGCTTTTTTCTAGCCACTGCAGAGAAAAACATTTCATTTCGCTAAGGGATGTTTCTGATGAATATTATCTCATATACTTTGTGTGTGCTATTTTCAGTCTGTTTAAAGAGTGCAAATATTTCGTCTGTTTAGAGAGTGCAAATATTTCGCAAGTGGATTGAATCAGATAAAGAATCTCTAGGAATTTACAAAGATTTATCAAGGCCAACTGCTCTTCTTACGATCTCAAGAAACAGACTGCTAGAGGTACATTGTCGCATTGTTTCTTTTCTTTACTTTTTAATCTTTATGTATTTACATGCAATTAAAGTTGATGCTAATCCGTCTCGTGTAAAGGGCTTTAAATATGTAACGCAGTAGTGGAGTTTTCGCTTTTCTATCTTCTAATGCATTTTTTTAATCATTCATATCTTTGAGGAAGTAAACTTTTATTTGGTATTAATTGATGGTGCTCTCACTGCAAAGCATTTTGCTTGATTAATAGAAAAATCTTTAAGTTCAAAAATTATTTGCTTTCAATTCAGGATGGTTATGAGCAGCTGAGTAAGTTAGATGGGCAGAGTCTCAAAGGAATAGTTCGAGTCAAATTTGTAAATGAGCAGGTGAGTATCGTGTCGTAAGAATCAACGATGTATGTCACAATACGTAGTATTGATTGTGACAGATCAGTGTATGTTACTGAGAGAAAAATAAGAAGGATTCAGTTCTTCTTTTGTTAACAGACTCACAGAAAGTTTGTTGAAATAATGCGTTTCCTGCATTGTCAGATTTATGTTCGTTTTTACGCTTTGTTAAGCAAACGGTTAAAGCCGATTTGTCAAAGCAGACTTGATATAAAATATAAAAGCATTATGTTTCGTAAGAGTCAGATACAAAGCCTATAAAATATCAGTTATGAGCTCCTTTAGTTGAAATTTACCCATTCTTCTTTATATCTCTATGACTCCACAGTTAGCTTAAAAGTGTGCGGAACTTTCTTAAGGCAGCCTAAAATTTTGTTCAAATTTTCACACTTGCAAATGCTAGAAATCTGATATTCAATTCAATTTCTTCTTTCTGTAGGGGCTAGACGAAGCTGGTATTGATCAGGATGGTGTTTTCAAAGAATATTTGGAGGACACGATCGCGAAAGCGTTCGACCCACAACTTAATCTATTCAAGGTATGCCTGAGGACCTTTTGCGACGTAGTTCCATCATTTTTGAAGAAACAAGGATCTCTCTACCGTAAATCCGCGAATTAGCCCTCTAGGAGCTTATCGATTCAGGCACTTTTTAGGAGGGGCTAATAAGAGGGGGCTTTTTGTAGCGGGGATATTATAAAAATCATCTACAAATTGTCATACATGTACTCCGTTTCGTAGATTTTTCATGATTTTCAAGTTCATTTCATTTGCAATTTTACCTCATTACTCTTTTTAAGATATCAAACCAAAGAATAAATCAAAGTGCGGAAAGATATTTAAGTCTAAGATATTGATTTTTCCTTGTTTTCTACGGTTTTTTCTTCAATGCCTCGTTGCTGTCAATCATTGACTCAAATGTTATATCTTTCTGTTGTTAGGAGCTCACTGAAATGCAAAAATTGGCACGTTAGGGTTCGGGGCTTATTAAAAAATTGTTTCCATCGTTAGGGCCTATTTGGGGGGGCGCACACAAGGGAGGGTAGCCCACACAAGCAACTTGAATTTACGATACTTGATTTCGGAGACAAAGTGTTTTTGCCTGCTATATTTTATTGCGATGCTCATTAACCTTTGTTGCATCACTGATGAATCAAAGCATTGTTGTGTATTTTTAATTTGCTTCATATATTATCTAGATGACAGAAGAGCAAAAACTGTATCCATCTCCTACATCATTTATTCATGAAGATCACCTTCACCTGTTTGAATTTATTGGGAAAATGCTCGGAAAAGCTGTTTATGAGGTGGTTTTCAAATGTTTTCTCATCTGTTTAAATGCATTTGACCGGGTTCATCCTAAAACCTGATGACTGTCATCCACCCATCCGTGCTTGATATTTTTCAAGACCTATTCCAGGAATTATTTCACAATATTAGAGCTTCTTGTTATATGTAGTTGAATTATTCCCATAGAAATTGTACCTTAAAAAAAACCATTGATAATTACCCATATTTCACCTCGCTATTTGATCTTGCTGTCAAATTGTATGTCCTTGCTAGTGTGATAAGATACTAATCGTATTAATTCAATTTCACTATTAACTAGTATTGGCTAAAGTGATTTTCTTCAGCTGAAGGGTCGTATACTTTTTCTGGGTGTTTTATCAACAGTTTTCCTCAACGAGAATATAAATTACTTGATGCATTGCAGGGTATTCTGGTCGACGTGCCGTTTGCTCCATTCTTCCTAAGTCAACTACTGCATCGGCAGCACGGGGCGCTGTATAGCTCGATTGATGAATTACCTTCCTTGGATCAAGAGATGTACAAAAGCTTATGTTTTATCAAGGTTAATGTTTAAGAGGTTTTTTCTTTTTGAATTACCACGTCATATTCAGCCTTTGAGGGGATCCGTAAATGCAAAAGCTAAGAAGACTTTAAAATAGCGAGGAATGGGGAAGATAGCACATGGTATTGTTCATCATCCCAATCCATTTCCTCTTCATTTTCTCACCCGTTTTTACACCTCAGAGATTTTTGGACCCAGGGAAGTTGTTTAAAGTACACAGTAGTCAAAGCTTGCCACTTAAACCCGGCCTTATACCCAAGAAGGATTATGTTATTATCTGGCTCAACAGTCCCGGCCCATCTCTGTTTTCTCAAATGCTCCCATTATTGGGTCTTCTCTGAACAAGCATAGGTTTCAAATCTATTTTCACGCTTTGTTGGACTAAAATAGTCACTCGGTTTAAATTAAACAAGAACATTTATAATTTTTTTGTAGCAGATTATCTAATTACTATTCAATTTCTGTTGTTATTTAATCTTTTATTCGCTTAAAATCTTCCATTTCTGTCTTGCAAACTTAATCTGACTGATGTTTTTGCTACTTATCTTTCGATATTTATGAATAATAGATACATTTAAATAAATTGAAAATTATTTTGCTTTTAGAACTACGACGGAGATGTTTCAGACCTTGAGCTCACTTTTTCATTCGATGAAGATGTTTTAGGCAAGGTAATTTGATCATTTGCTCTGCAAAAATTTTTTTTATCATCCTAGCTAGATCAATATTTTATTTTGATAGATGATTGAAGTAACTTCGTGATAGAGGGATCTCATTTTATGAAAATGAATGGGGCAAAATGTTACCCTTGCGGAGGAATAATCAATCTCGTCGTAAGCAGGCGATGACCCTAATGCGAAAATGGCGGGCATCCCCAACTTTTGTCACCGTCTTCTCTGCCTTACGTCATTGCTAAAAGGGAAGCTTTTTCTTTTAATGTTTCCACTGTTTAATGCCCTGATTTGGGAATGGTTGTAGAAGTCTAAATAAGTTAATTAACAAAAAGTAATGTAGAAAATGATTGGCTTCAAAGTTGAAGGCAGAAAGGACCTCAAGCAGGCTATTAAATTGTTTGGATTTATGGGAAACACTTCTCTTTAAGATCTAATAAAGGAATTGATCTCGCTGGCAGTTTGAAGTCTTCCAGATCTGTACAAATCGTTTTTGGATTCTTTTGTTTTGAAATAGAATCCAAAAGGCATGCGCTTGTAGCTACATAGATTTTAAAACATGAGTCGTAGAAGTAGCCTTAAGCAAAGATTCTCAAAAGGGAATTGTATGCATTTTAATGATTCATTGATTTCTATTATCTAGGTCGTCACCCATGATCTGAAACCAGGTGGTAGAGTAATTAACGTGACAAATATTAACAAGTGAGTGATGCGTCTTTCGTATTCAGGCATAAGAGTGATACTTGCATCAGTGATTCTTCATTATGTTCAAAAAAGCATTCATTATTATTCAAGACTTGTTTGTCAATATGTAGAGTCGTTTGTGGCCGAAAATCCACACAGATGTGATAGTGTTTAAACATTTGAATTCCGTTATAAGAGGGACTTATCTTTAAGATACAATATTTCCAGAGTATAAAATCGCAGTTTTAACGGGATCAATGTTTACAAAATCAATTGCATAGAAAGGGCCACTATAAATTTGGTTATAGCTTTATTTTATTTTTGTTAGTCTGTTCTTGTATTGATTCAAGCGTCTGTTAAATCTAGCTGATAGCAGCAAGGTTGCAATGTATTTTCATGCTCCTTGTGCAAATGTCTGGTAATGTTATTGTTTGTTGGTATATTGTACATTTAAAAGAATATATGTATGTAAAAAAAATATTTTTGGTTTTAGAAAATTGAAATTTTTTAAATTTAGACTAAAATCAATGAATTATTTTTATTTCGAAAAAATTTGGTCATTCTATCAGAAGTTCAAAGTGAAAAGGTTGTAAATTTGTTTCTCTACGCTTTCATTTTCCACACAGTTATATCCTGGAAAAAGAGGTTCTGCTAAAAACTGAATTGAGAGGGGGTATTTGATAACCCTCGGATGGCATCGCTTTCGGCATCAATTCTCTTAAAACATTTTTTAAGAGTTATCTTTTTAAAATCATTACCGATATTTGCTGACAATATTTCTAAATTCTAATTTTACTTATCGCAAGAGGTTATCGTAGGATTGCGTGGGAACTTTTCCAGCTAGGGCAGCTGCAGCACTTTTTCATGTTAACCTGTTTTCTTTGAATTTTCTTGCAACATGTGATTTATTGTTTAGTATAACGCATACAACAGCAGTATCCTCAATGCATTCAGTACCTAGTATGCCCATACCGCTTGGCATGGTTATTGAATTTAGAATTTACAAATAAAGATTACCTTTATTCTTGTTTCTAAAATCGAGTGCATTCGAATAAATCTTATTGATTCGAAGTGCAAAAATTTTGAAGGAGGAACATATCAAAGCTCGAAGCGATTTGTTCTCATCTGTATCGTTTAATCCAGGCTTATCAATGGTTTTTTGCGAAGCTAAATCAGTTTCTTCTTCATTTTAATGAAAATCTTTGTTTGCCCGTTTCCCTCTTTAATTTGTTTTGATGCTGCATAGATAGCATATCAATTCCATCTGCAACACACCCATAGCAGCACTTTTTAAATGAATGGTATTTTGGTGTATGTGCCTGCTTGCAGCAAAATAAAATACTCGTTTGGTTTTTCCTACAATCTTCTAACCTTGTTTCTCTTAAGATGGACCCAGCAATGTATGTTTGAATTCAATGAGACAGACCTTTAGACTCCAGAAACAACTTTTGTCTAGATTATATAGCATCATTACATGAACATAGTCCTAGCAGGCCTATTTCCACTCGCCATTAGGCCTATCAATTTGACTTTTTTAAGCACACTGGGACAAAAAATTCGTCATTTTAAGCTTTCCGTGCTTTCATGTTCATAGGATTATAGTTAAAGATATATGGCTATCGGTTGCCAACTGATTGCATTAAGAGTGATTCTCAAAGGAGCTATTTGAAACCTTCATGTTGAATACACTGTTTATTGGACATCGCGCAATCTGCAACAGACTAACCAACTGCAATCTCTATGCAAGTTGAAGTTACAATATAGTTATTGCTTTAAAAGGTGGTACTGGATAGAATGAAATTAATACTGCTAAAAAGCACATGCTCTATAAAGCAAGGTGCTGAGAAATGTTTCTGTATATGTACATCGATAAGGTGGGCAGCTAACTGTAAGCGTTTTGTGGCAGTTTGTTATTTTTATCATACCATATAGTTACTTATTGACTTTTTGTTTGTTGATGGTTGGTACTTGTGTGAAAACTTGTGTTTTCTGAGGCACATGACTACGAATGACCTCCTTATAATTCAATTTTACAGGCTGCTCTATATTCATTTGATGGCGAAGTTCAGGATGTACACTCACATCAAGGACCTGACGGCTGCATTCTCACGTGGCTTCAGATCCATTGTTAATTTGGAATGGCTCAGCATATTTTCGCCCCCTGAATTCCAAAGGCTGATATCTGGAGATACTGGTGTCATTGACTTTGTCGATTTAAAGTAAGTCTGTTGCCCTGTCGAGCCTCTTTTTAGTAGCCCGTACCGAGCCTCTTTTAAGTAGTCGAGTCTCTCTTTGGTAGCTTTTGGGAGTATTTCGAAACTGGCATCATCGCTCATGCAATCATTTCAACAATTTTGATCATGCACGAAACGGAGCACAGAAGAACATCATTGAATGGGCTGTAGTGTAGTCTCCTATCTCTTTCCCCAAGGTCTGTTTTAGTATTTCTAGGGAAGTGGCTTTGGGTAATCATAGATTAAGTTAATACTATTGAAGTGCCTTTGGGTAAATACTAAATAAGCAAGCGGCACTGATTGGGCAACCTTAACAGTCATGTGCTGACCTTTCTGACTGGGTTATTTCGATTATATATATTACCTAGTGTAAAGTTTTCAATCTGTGCTCTGACCTTCTATACTATGAAGAGTGTCAGACCAAAAGCTTACGTATGATGCAAAATGTTTGCTTTTTCTAAGGCCATTGAGTTATTTATCCCAAATTCAAGACTTGAAAAAAAGTTATTTTTATTCTTAGCCAGAAAACTTAGCAAATCATATCTGATTTTGCCTTCCAATGCCAGAGCATTGGCCTTTGCTGGCTGAAAAGAGAGCTACTTTTTAATTTTGTTTTCACTTGAACCCTTTTCATTAAAGCATCTGTTTTTCTTTCTTGTGACTTTCCAATGTTTACCCAATGCTTAAATGAAAGGCGTGGACAGATCATTTATCAGTCAACCAAACACAACAATATATGTAGCAGTAACATTTAAAAACAAAGCGAACTAAAATCAAGTGTCTTTCAGTGTACATTTCTCAAACAGGTCAGCATGATAAGAAAACTCTAGAAAGCTTTATGAAAAATGTCATTTAAGTGCATTCGATTTATCTTGTGGTAATCACTTGTTTTATAAATAATGCAGATGCGGCTTGCGTTGCTTTCATACATCCTGTTTCTACTCATTCAAAATCCTCTCCTCTCATTAAAAAAATCAATGCAATCTATTTTGCAAATAAAAGCTCTCTATTATATTTTTCTCTTATGAGATGTATACCTCTTTATTATGTCAATACATAATATAAAATCGTGTATAATGCCAAATTTTTATTAATTCTATTAAAGGAAAGTATTGCTATTTAGTCATCATGATTAATTGATCTTTCTAGACCCGATTAGGAATGCCATATGACGAATCTGCTCTGTTTTCTAGTATTTTCCATTTACTTAAATGTTATGCTGGACCGTGCGAAGACTTAACGTCAAAAGCCTTGTAATACGTAGCTTTGTTCTTACATAAGATGCAGGTTCCTAGCTTTTGATGTACGATTGACGCAAGTTTTAGCTATTTCATTCAGTAATTTATTACTAGAATGAAGGATGCATATTTTAATGAACTTTCTAGTCTTTTATCAAGACTTGTTTCGACTAGGTACTCCTCCCTCTGTATAATCTCTAACTGTATAATCTCCGAATTATTTTTGCTTGTAAAGTGAAGTATCTACAACCTTAGACTTTAGGTCAGCCAATAATGAATATTTTTTGGAACTAATACAGTGTTTGGGAAATAAACTGTTATTGGTCATCTTCTGCGACAAATGTTTTTTAAAACATTCTCAAAACGCTCATTAAACCCAGATATCGTAGACGTTTTCCTCCTTTTTATTTCCTCCTTTTTATTTCCTCCTTTTTATTTCCTCCTTTTTATTTCCTCCTTTTTATTCCTCCTTTTTATTTCCTCCTTTGTATTTCATGTTTTTGTGAAGAATTAATCTTTCTTCATGCTTGAATTATTAACATAAAACCTTTCTTTAAGGGGCTGTACCTTGTATTATGGTGGATATCACCCTGGACATCCTGTTATCCTATGGCTCTGGGATGTGCTGCAGAATGATTTCTCCGAAGTCGAGAAGAAACAATTTCTCAAGGTATTTAGAAAATCTAGTTTGCATGAGAAAGTTTCAAAGTGTCATTGAATTAGGCATTCCAACAGTTTCACAAACTTTCAAAAGTTTATAGATTAGCAAGTTGATAACTGAGGGGAGTAAAAATCACAGTGTATCAACTGAATGCTTCATTCTTAAGGTTTATATGTATCTTAGTTATATTATCTGAGCTAAAATTCAAGTACCTAATTCCTTACACCTTACACGATATTTTCTAAACTGAACATTATCTTCTCTTCCACTCTTTAACAAAGTCTTTATTCTAGTGATAATGTAGAAAATAGGGAATACTTTGTCGCTGTTAGTTTTAAAGCTAAATTGAAGCGAAATATTTTGGGTCTCAGAAGTGAATCATTACTAGAAGAGATGGGGCAAACAGGACGAATTGGAGAAAACACTGTTAGTCTGGTCGTGTCATAAGAGAAAAGCCCCGATCCTCGCATTTGTTAATAGGAATGATAGGTGGAGAACGAAGCTAAAGCCACCTGTGCAGAAAATGGATTTATTACGTCAAGGAATTAACTGATCGTTGTATGCTTAACGATAAGGGCTGATGGATGAGTCTGTGGTCCCGGTCTTCAGTATTTGACAAGCCCCATCTAGCCCGAGTTACCTAGATTTTCTACCTAGACCTCCGCAAAAGCGGGGTCTTACAAGCTCCATTTAGCCCAATGTGCAAATTAGCAAAGAACGATTTAGCGCCGCTGTAGCCTGATCAAGTCGAGTCAGATTGTTATCTCATAGTACTATTAAGCCATCATTTATCTTCAACAGTTTGTAACGAGCTGCTCAAATCCACCACTACTTGGCTTCAAACATCTAGAGCCACCGTTTTCAATAAGATATGTTGAATGTGCAGATGACGAGGTGGGTAGCTTGGGTAGAAATTTAGGTAACATCTGTATGGCCAACAGGGTTTTACTCAGAGATTTTTCTCGTATCGTCTTAGAACTATAAGAGAGATAGGAATTGCATTATTTTTGTATAAATGATAGGAAAAGAAGTTGTTCTAGGTACATAATATCTGTTTTTCGTGATAGTGATATGATCTCGTTTTAGCAGTCAAACGATTTGTTTTTATGCTTGCCATAATTTTCTTTTTTATATTTATATTCATATAATGTTCTTCTTGGCCGTGTGAGCTTTTTTTAAGATAAATTTAGCTTGGTTAATTGTTAGAAACAAATTGAAACTTTTGGACATGGATAAAGTTTCAGAAAACTATTCCTTAGTTTACCTACTTTTGTTTCTTCGTTTCTAATTCAAGCGGTACTTTGGCTAGGTGTTTCATGCAGATTTTCAGTAGCTCATCTGCTTAATTCTTTAACAAATGATAAACAAACGTTTGGCCTCGTTTAGCAGCACGTGTCTTAGTTGCTAAAACATTTTTTGTATCTTAGGACTCTGGGGATTCCTTGGGCAGCGTTGTGCGAGGATTCCTCGGCATTCGACGGCGTGGTCAAGATGCCTCAGGAAGGCTGCCGACAGCGTCAACCTGCTTCAACCTACTGAAACTACCAAACTATCGCAAAAAGGCCATATTGCGTGAAAAACTTCGATATGCCATTACTTCTGGTGCAGGATTTGAACTGTCCTAGAAATGTATGAGTGCTGAGAAAAGGAAACCCAGTTGTATGGATTCATGGTAGAACGATTAGCGCTACATACATTGACATCTAACGCATGTTTCAAGTACTGTACTTTTGAGCAAATCTCTGGCGATTTCTTATTTCAAGGGCACCGGATTTAAAAAGAAGATTCTTAATAGAGAAACCTGGATAGGTTTCCTAACAGAATTTATTTTATTGGACGATAGGTAGACCCTCAAAATTTTTGTTGAGATGTCACTCTCCACATATTGCTCTATAAAAGCTCTACCCTAGATTTCTGAGACTTGTTTATCAGTTGTGAGACTTTACGTCTATTTTATTGTCAGAGCTTAGCCCTTGCCCCACGAAGCTCCTTGCTAGATAAGAATATCATTAATATAGTTAGGGTTGTTCTCCTAAACTGATCAATTTCATAGCTTACATAATTTTTCCAGAAATGAATTCCTTTGCATGAAAATCAAATCTGTTACACCCAACACTTGAGGTAAAGAGCAAGAAGAACGCCGTATCTTAAACATAGACCGTTGATGCGTATCACGACCTTAATTTCTGATTCACTGTTTTATGTACATAGATTATATAATTACTGTATATATTTAGTTGAAAAGAGTTCAATATTCTTGTTTCAAATGCAACAACTCCCGCATTAGTGATGTCACAACACCATTCTCTTAAAATTATCTACTAATCAAAAGTGGCTGTTAACGACTAATATTATACTTTAAGATAATTTCTCTGCATGATACCATAAAGATAAATGAACTTAGCTCATGGGCTTAGCTGATGTAAAACGTTTTGAGGGTAAGGGGGGGTTAGTATGGAAACTGCCCGAATATTTTTGCGTGATTGGAATAAAACTGTTCTATACTAGTTAATTTGTTGAACATTTTGGTTTAGCCTCGTTTGGGGTAAGAACCGGGTGGGTAAAAATCGTCGAAGAAGAGAGTTGGAATTAAGTTGTTTTATCAGGATTGTGAACATTGTGAGTTTGTGTATCGGGACAAATCGGTACAGTCCGATTGGAGCCTTAAATTCGCTAAAATGTTCCAGACCTTTCTGTCCTTGTTTTCCTACGCCGTATGAAAAGCGTCTTCTGGCAATAGCTTAATATTTCCGCGCGTGTTCTTAAGGTTTGAACTTCGGCTGGTTTATTTTCTAATATACCTGATAGTGATTCCCCGCTAAATGTAATCGAGAGATCTCGATTGACTCCTGCTCCACTCTAGAAACTATTTGGTGATTCTGTTCACCGTAAGCAAAAGAAAAAGAGTTTTGTTTTCAGGAACTCGCGCTTGAAAATCGAACCGTGTTTTCAAAGCGACGTGAATACCACTGTGTCCTTGGAGACCAAAATTTCGCAGCAAAGGCCATTGGGGGATTGTGATCACTTAGCAGATCAAGGAGCTGATAAAAATCCTATTACACGTAACATGGCGAGGCACAGGACACAAGTAAGACTTTTGGTAAGTAAATTCACTTGAATTTTGAATTTGCTTGAATATTAACAGGTCTGATATATATTAATCTGTTTAGGGCAATGCAATTAGTTTGTTCCCCTGCTGTCTTATGACACGTCAATGATATTTCGTATACAACCCCGTCAGGCCATTTTAGCAATAAAATAACATCGGTCAAATATTTCTAAGCATCTGTTTATATTTCTCATCTGAATAAAGTTCAGTCGATTTCAGCTATTAGCGGTTTCTGTATTATGGCATTCAGATGGATTATGAAATATTAATTACAGTTCGCATATGCATTTCAAATAGACAGCAGGAATTCGCTACGCGACGAAATTTATGGAGGGTCTCTTATGGAGGCCTCGGTATTTTCAATTGATTGTATACGAAACATCAAGGCTAGCCGAAAAGGCAGGAAAAAGCCAAATATTAAAAAGGTTTCAAATTCTAGTAGCATGGTACACGAGATTGCGTACAACATAAGAAGGTCCAAACTCCAGGCAAGAGTTGAACCAAACGGCCTTCGGGCAACATTCCTCTCTTTTCCTGCTCCTGACTGGTCCACGTTATGTCAATAGTTAAAGAGAAAAACAAATGCATGGCTTTGGTCCATGAATACAAAAGGTAATGAGAATGTGTATGAAAACGTCTACCCTTATCTCACTATTGAAGTATCCCTTTTTGAAGCTTGAATCTGGTTCTTGTAAAAGCAAGAGGGACAGTAAGATAATTGCGAAAGTCTTTCAATTTGAAGCTTTATATGCGCCTTATAAATCCTTATGAAAAATGCTTCCTTTTTAATTAATGGATAGAAATTTTCTTCAGGATCATCCAACTTGCTAAAGTACTACCATATTGTCTTGTGTTGTGTAAGACGTAGAAATAGAAAATGCAAAATATTTTCGAATCCAAATAATTGAACTGTCGGTGTTGATTTAAATCGTCGATCTTGAATTTTAAATTTATCAAGACCTTCGCTTGATCATCATTTCAGAATATTTGATGGTACCAAACTTGCCATCCATCGATAGCCATGACATTCGTGACGCACCCTCGGCCTCAGGGGTACTCACATAAGGGACTTTGTCTTGATGATCATTATTAAGGTTCGCATTAAAGCACTCGTTTGACCACCAAGGGCCGCGAAATCTCTCAGCACAGTGCCGATCACTCCAGTTATCATTATCCTGATCTGGCGTGGAGAATGCTGCCCCATAGCTTCTTCTCAAAGAATCACCAATGTTACCTTCATATGCACCGAATGTTATCTTGTATTTCTCATCCTCGCTGCCAATTTTTAAATTAGAATACTTTGCAAATCCACTGATTCCGTTAATATTTCTCACTTCGACGCGGAGAATCATGTTATCTGCACTCTGAGTCATCCAGTGTAGATATTTCAAGCCAATCCAAAAGCTCCCATCAACATCCCCGAAACCGTTAACGTAATCCGTCCAATTGCGATAAAAATCAGTTGCATCCACTCGTCTCTGGAACACCAGCCAACCTCCGTTGTCGCTGATCATGTTACAGTGACCCAAGAAGGAAGATCCATTCTTCAGCGACAAATCCACCTTCATACTCGAGTTGATTCCCCATTTCTTCAGTTCGTTGCAGCTTTGAAAACCTGATCAAGAGGAAGAAAGGCAAGTAGGTTAGTATTTATAGCTATCAGGAAAACATTTAAATGAACACTGAAAGGAACGTGAGTCATCGTGTCCCTTGTTGCTGCTCACCGTGTTCTCAGCTTAGGGCCCCTACTGCTTACATGTAGACTAAGACAGTATAAAAATCCAGCCTTCAAAACATCCAGAGGAAGGAAACTACAATGTACCGTCGCGATTACGTTGATATAAAGACTCATTATCATATTAGGCATACCTGTTTCTTCCTTTTCCAGTATTTGATCGTACTGTGAAAGACTCACAACCTCGTCAACATCAGATAATTTTCCAGTGCCTATCTTCCTGCCGAGATTCTTGCATTCATTATCTCTGCTGCATCGAAACATTTCTTCTTGTATTGTAAAATCAGTCTCTTTGCTGAGTGAACTGCTAGATCCGTTGCTTTTTGTTGAAATGTCTTTAAAATACGTGCCAGTTGTCACTATTTGGGCAGCATGGAACCATTTCCAACAAATGCAGATCATGGCTATGTGCAAAGGCAACGGACTTACAGGCAAATGCATCTTTGTTTGAGTGCTGTACTTTGCTTGATTTCCACTTTTCAGTTCTCTTTGCAGTTGTGCCTAAAAGAGTAAAGGCATATAAACTCAGCTTATGTCTATCCTGGTTTCTATTCGTAGTCGATAGCTTTTTTGGTTTTCTAAATCAATCAGACAATTTCCAACATAAACTCTGATTGATGTAATAACAACGCAAATGTCGAGTAGCTGCAGCTTGCCTGATCAAATCAAATACCTCAGAAACATTGTTTTGTTTGCTACCCGCAGAGCACTCGCTATTTGGAAAGTACCATGTGCAGATCAGAGAAAACTACAATATGAAGTTAATAAGAATAGCATCACGTCTTATACCATGGATGATTGCTCCCTCCCAGCCACCTTCTAGATTCCTGCCGCTTTGCTAAATAAGACTCTGTAAGATGGCTGCAGACAAAATCATTTAAAAATGTAAAAATATTGCAGAATTCTGCTCCAAATATTTGCTTGGAAAAAGAACTCTTCAAACAATATGTTTCCTTGCCAACGAGTGCTTTTCGTAGATTTTTGAACATTTGGCAGGAACATCTGCTTACCTTTTTATTTAAAAACATGACTTTGTATTGTAATTTTGACAATTAAACTATTTGAGCGTGTAGCATGATTTTACAAACTGTGTTGTAGAAGCTGCCATATTTACTAATATTTAACAGTTGGTAGTCCTTCAAAATGTTCTAAAAACGTTTTCCACCTGCATAAATGCAATAGAATTTTTAGACCAATCATTTTGAAACTACAAGACATTTTTATAAAAAGAATGACATACAAGAGTTGCTCTGCAGGATTTTAATTTACTTTGAGAACAAGATAAATCAGAAAACTTTGATTTGTAAATAAAAGCCTAGAAAGAAATGCAAGAAAGGCCAAAATTCAGTGGTTTGCTGATAACTTAGATTTTGCAGCTTAGATTTAGTTCAATAGGACTTTCACAGCTCAAGTTTTCGACTTTAAGCTAAGAGACGTGCTCCATTTTTAAATACTTTGAGAACATCTGAAAAATGTGCATTTCACATAGCTTTTTATAACTGCTTTAAAGTTGATGTAAGATGAATAAAATTAAGAATTATTTTTAATAATCATGAAATAAGTAAAGAAAAGGGCGGGTTAAGCCTGCATTCTCAAATCTCAACTGAAATTCAACTACACTGGAAATTAAAAAAAACTAGTTTTATGTTGTCTTAAGAGTTTTGGCTTGTTGAACTGGGCGATAATAAAATGCAACTCAAAGTTCCAGGCTTAATTTCGATTATCAAACAACTATTGACAGCTATCTCGTTGGAAAGTATATACAAAAATTGTCGAAAGGCTACTGATAATGCTATCAAAACAAACTCCTAGGTTATGTTAAGTTAAATATTCATATAGAACGTTTTTACATCGTATAAATTAAGGATTGAAAATTGCTACAGCGTTTTTGCGGCAAATTTTAATAAAATGGTTATGAGTAAGGCTTGATATCTACATCAAAAACTGTTCGGCGTTGATTCGCTTCAAATTTTACATAGTTGTAACTGAAGCAAACTATTGTGTAATGCTCTATTTTTGCATATCTAGCTTTGGTTAAACTTACGAACAGATTTTCTCATAAATAACCTTCAATATGGCCTTGGATTGAACTTCATTTTGCTATTTTCAGAACAATAAAGCCTAAATGTGAAACATACTTACCAAAATGAGATGTTGCTATATGGCGGAGATCATGTACAGTGTTGTCTGACTGCAACAAAGAACTAGAACATCCGCTTAATGCTCCTCTTAAGAGCATTATCTATATCATTGGTTGCGGGGGATATTTTCAATGGTATTTTGCAACTTAACATCGCCATTCCTGGATTTTTGTTCTTCTGCCAACCAAGATTGTACATTTGAGCTTTTCTAAACTGCATCGGTTTTGGAACGCAATGTTTTACACGACTGCTAACAGAATGACTATTTTTGCTTTAAACAGAGCAAACCATTACAATTATTTTGATACCTATTGTTAACCTATGAATTCGTTAGCTAACTGAAGAAGGCTGCTGAATACAATCAATTAATGTTTGACTTCAATTGAAGAGTTAATCCACTGTTATTGCCGATTCTGTGCCCAATAAAAGATCATCTACGTGAAGCTGACTGCATATCTTAGTACTGATTAATGGATCACGCGATTAATTCATTTCTGCAGTTATTATTTTTGTCTGTGGCTTTTTTCTGTATATTCGCTCTATTTAAGCAAAATATATTAAAACACTGACATCTTGACAAAGGTCTAAAGGGCTCACTCATTTCTTGAAACAATTTCTCAGCTTACTCTTTGTCTGTGCAGCATGCTGCATTGACAGCCGCTATGCTGTGGAAATCTTCCAATGTTTCATAGATTATAAGAAGAAAGATTCTGCTACGATCTTTCCAGTGCGAAATGTGTTTTGTATATCGTTAAAAGTCTATCTTTGCAATGATAACAAAGACAAATATAAGGTATACAAATTGTTGAACTATCCACGCCTACTGAAGAAACATCTTTTAGAAAACGATCAAAAAACTGTTGCCATGAAGAAAGACAACCTTGCACGCAGCAATGCAAATAACAGTTACACAAGGTTAAAACGACTTCTACTAAGCTATAGAATGTAACAGCGAAAACATTTTATTAGCAAAAAATAACATTCAGCAGACGCAAGGAGACGTACATTATCCCTACAGTTCGATAATGGATGATTAAACACATGCATAGCTATCAAATTATGATACCACCTTCAAAGTCTTGAGAGCATCACAGAACCTGCGAAGGTAGAAGTGATCAAATGCCATATGCACTTTGTATTGAAACCTTAGCCGAGACTCAGAGAGAATGCTTCTTTTGGTTACTCAGCTAAACTGGATTAGGGGGAGGCATTGGGGGGGGGGGGGGGCATTGAGAGAAATATAGCTTTTTCTACACCTGCCTCACGAAATACTGTCAGATCAAGCTGCACTTATAAGATCTTCAAACACAATTTTCACCAATTATTGGGGGCATTGCCCCCCCCTGCACCTCAGTGTCCACGGGCCTGTGGGGGTATCAACCAACAGTATGCCAATATCAGTCAAAAATTGCAAGCAAGCTTTCAGCAATAGCGAGAAGCCATGTCTTGTCGTTCTTATTAGTTGTGCAATTTGAAGTTAAAAGGGATTTGAAATTAACTAACTGAACACAGGGGTGTAGTGCATTAAAAACATTATTATGGATATCTCTCGTAAAAAATTTCATCAAAGAATGGCAAACTGAAACGTTTAATCATTTTTTACGAAAAATTAGGAGAATCCTTTTCCACAGTTTACATCACTGGGTTGCCTTCAAGAATGTCCTTTCAATGTGACCATTTTGTTGGAAATTTTTAGCGCGGAAGTTATGAATTGATAGCTACAAAGAAAACATTATCTCTGTAGATAGCACTGTAAATACCAACTCAGGTAATATTAATTTCTGTGAAATAAAGGCCTATTATTTTGTTTACAATATGGCTTGTAGGCTGATATAGCCCATCGCCAACACAATTACTATACTTACAAGTTAACATGATTACAAATCAAAAATGAATTTCAGAAAACAGCTAATACAAAGATAAACAAATGAAAAAATGATTATAGTGGACCAAAAGCCGCAATGTGCATAAAATGAAACACAATGGCGCGGCAGCGATAGCAAAGCATGCCTTTGCACAAAACAGCCAGCTGTCTGCTTAGGGGGAAAGGCTGCTAGAGTTAGCAAGCTGTTGCGCTGATCCATGCCTTGTTCAACATCAATTGACTACATATCCCTTTCGAAACGCATCCACGTCGTAACGGAAAGATGCAATGTATCTTATGCTGAAGACGCAGAAAAACCCGAGGGGCGATTCACTCAAAAAGAAGGGTTTCTGGAGATTTTCAGATAAAAGAATAGGATTTTCACAAATGGTGTACGAGATTTTCTTAGAGTGATTTGCCCCTCGGAAAACCATTGCTAAGTCTGTAGGCCGTGTGTAGAAATATGTTCGAGACAATGACCTGGTAAAGCAAATACTGCACGTTAGCTTCAGGATGCAAACACAACTGGGTGTTGAGATTAGAGAGGGAGAGTACCTGAAGTAAAAATGAGCGCTGGTGACAGTTCGTCAGTTAGTAGCGTGTTTCGAAATGAAGTGAGGTCGGAACTTATTGCAAATTCAAAACCTTTAAGATAGAAAACTTTATTTATACGGTGCGGCCTTTAAATATAATAAAACTAACTTTGCATTGCATACTTATGACCCAGAAAAAGTAAACTTATTGACCCTGGGCCGCTGGAATATTCAAATATAAAATAAAATTTAACAAAGACTTCATGCAAGCTTAAGGTAGCGCAACAAGCGTATGGGTACAAGACAAATATAAACGATTGCAATTATACAGCATATAAAATTCATTAAATGATACAAAATTCAGGTTATAGTTATACAGCATAATAAACTTGATCGTAGCAGGTTAACATGACAAGACAATGTTTCATAAATCACACGATGTTAAAACCGTTGTTGCTATGCAATTTTCAAAAGTAGTCTTAAATATATTTTATAAAACAGGCAAAGAATTAGTTTTATTGTAGATATGAGGGATATGTAATTGTGACTGTCGATCATGGTTTCTTTCAATATCACCATGAAAAGGGCAAAGGCAACTCGGTAAGAGATAGCAGAAAGCAATCCATTTTAATCTACAATTATTTCTATTAGTTTTCAAATTGTTTTCTGCTGTTGAGCAATGCAAAAAATAGAATAGTGTTTCTAGGGAATGTAATTATGTCAGGCAGGTTACGGTTAAGACATCTAATTAATATTTGATACTATGTTTGAAAATATGGTTTCAAGGAGCAAAGAGAGGGTGACGACATAGAGGTTATTCAGTGTGACAAGGTTGGTTTCATTTACTGTTATCTTATTGCATGCATTTGCAAAAAAGCAGGGGTCAAATCGAATATTGCACAGCACCAAAGATGCGATTTTCATCTGGTATGTTGCTTTTGCTCGTCACATTTGTATGTTTTTCTTGGAAATGGTTCATTGCTGCCGAAATATTCACTACCGGGACACATTTTAGAGAAATTACCACAGAAAGCAGCAGATCAAGCACTTCAGCTAGCAAAGATGAAGATTTTACACTACAAGAAGAAATGTTGCGATGCAGCAGAGATAATGAATGCAAAATACTCGGCAGTAGGACAGGCACTGAAAAATTATCTGCAATCGGCAAAGGAGGCAATTTATCAGAGTACGATGAAATTTTCGAAAAGAAAGAAGCAGGTAGAATTTAAATGAAAAAAGCTCCATGTAAAAAAATGGGATAATCCTTCTTAGTTAAAACTTTTGTGAAACTGATACAGAGTTATCTCATGATAACCTTATTAAAGACTCATTGCTAACAATGAGCCATTGCGCTACGCAAGCATCCCATAATGCATTTTCAGACAGTCTGAAAATTTTGAACCTATAATCCATAAATCTGTAGCGCATCTAATCTTGCCAAAAAAGTATTCCTTCCATGGAAGAAATCTTGTAGCAAACATTTCCCTGACTAGAGCGCAACTGTGAATTTACATGTATTATTTGATTGTATGAAGGTCCAATGACAAAAGAATCCAATGACAAAAGAATCCAATGAAACATTTGTAATTTGAGGGCTGAAGGTTACAGTGCCTGGCCTACCTAAAACTGTGGACAACGTGACTTGCTAGAAGCGACTTTCATTGTGAATTCAAATGTTAAGAAAACTTTTGCCGGAGAATGAAATCTAATCTCTTTGCTATCTTCCCTCTTGATCAGGTTTTAAAAGCTGCAACGAACTGAAGAAATGGGGAATCAACTCGAGTATGAAGGTGGATTTGTCGCTAAAGAATGGATCTTCCTTCTTGGGTTACTGTAACATGATCAGCGACAACGGAGGTTGGCTGGTGTTCCAGAGACGAGTGGATGCAACTGATTTTTATCGAAATTGGACGGATTACGTTAACGGTTTTGGGGATGTTGATGGGAGCTTTTGGATTGGCTTGAAATATCTACACTGGATGACTCAGAGTGCAGATAACATGGTTCTCCGCGTCGAAGTGAGAAATATTAACGGAATCAGTGGATTTGCAAAGTATTCTAATTTCAAAATTGGTAGCGAAGATGAGAAATACAATATAACATTTGGTGCATATGAAGGTAACATTGGTGATTCTTTGAGAAGTAGCTATGGAGCAGCATTCTCCACGCCAGATCGAGATAATGATGCTAGGAGTGATTTTCACTGTACTGAGACATTTCGCGGCCCTTGGTGGTCAACCAATTGCTTTACTGCGAACCTGAACAACGATCATCAAGACAAAGTCCCTTATGTGAGTACCCCTCGGGCCGAGGGAGCGTCACGAATGTCATGGAGATCGATGGATGACAAATTTGGCACAATCAGGTTCTCAGAAATGATGATCAGACCATATCCTTGATCAACCTTTAACTCAAGATAAGCGACTTAGATTAAATTAAAGCTCAATTGCATTGCTACAAGCACTTTTATTTATGCTTATGGTAACAGGTCTTTGGATCGTTCTAGAGAAGTTAGCAGCTCCTTTAGAAGGCGTAAATAAGCATTGTCGCCATTTTGGAACGGTCAAATGAGAATTTCACCTTAGTAACATAGTAATCCATTATCGGTACATAATGGTAAAATATGCCTTAAGTGCATATGACATGAAATTTTTAGTTGCTCCCTAGACTTGATCTAGTATGCTGATCACGAAAATAACCATAATATTTTCGAAAAATAAATACACTCGTAATTACAGCTGCTTCAAAGTCGATTTTTTTGCCTCAAATTCTGTCACAGGGGATTGGGTCGAGTTTGACAGGAAGTGAGGTAAAGTGGTTGTGTTAGTAAAAATTTCATGGAAAATTTAGATTGCATCCTAACAAGAGACGGCTGAGTTTGTGAACATGTGTCATAGCAAATAATCAAGCTCGAGGGCGTCAATTTTTGAAGAAGGTGAAGGGGGTAGCTTGAAGGTGCTGCTGATGGGCTATTTTTGTCCTGCAAGAACGAGCCAGTCGTTTCTTCTGCGGATAATTTGAACGTAGAAACGGTTTCAAGTCAAGAAGACCTGTTACTGCATAGGAGTTAACTATCCAAAGTTGCGTTAGAGTAAACCTTCCAAAACATTTTCTAGCCGATTATGGCAAAAATATTGGGGGGGGGGGCTATAGCCGCTGCTAACTCAATGGCTGTGCGGTGCCTGGTGGGGAGGGGGCTAAATTGAGAGGAGAGGTTTAAAAGATAATTTGCAGCGCGCGTAGTTTAGACAGCGCGTTATGGGCGTGGCGAATTAAATTTGATTAGATGCGATCAAAATTCAATTAGATGCTGCCCGTAGGGTACTTCAAATTGTTGTTTGGTTTTGGACAGCAAAGCTAACTGAATTGTGAATAATTTCGGCTGAAAGCAAAAGCAAGTTTTGTTTCTGTTGTAAAATGGCCCCCATCTCGACGAAGATAATATTATTCTTGCTCAATCAATTGTACTTGACGCAAGAAAGCGTGACAAAGGCTGGTTTTGGAAGCACTAAGTGCATTGAGGCGCACTGTGACACATTTACTTCAGCTTGTGTTCTGGGCCTGTTTGCAAAGCGGGAAAATAAAAAATCCAGTGAACAATAGATCATGGAAACTTCTGCTAAGAGTTCAAGGTTGGTGGAGCATGATTTGAAACACGTACGAGGACAAATGTTTCAAACTCACTTTTCGTGTGACAGAGGCTTGATCGGATAGCACCGGCATTGAGAAAAGATACTGTTGCGGAATTGCCGAAGCGTGAGATTGGTTGTTTGGCAGTACAGGCTTGCCAGGCTATCATGGCTCATCTATGGAAAAAGTCTGTGGGAAATAAGATGCCAAAAAATTACCCTGGGTACCAGACTCACTATATATGAAATAAAATAGAGAGTCTGGTCTAGTGCGCCCCATTCTCGTTCTGGTGTGCTGATATTAACCAATCAGGAGCGAGTGTACAGATTTCTGTACGTTCAAAGGTCACAGCGAAACAATAAACTTAGCTCTGGTGTAAAACATTGAACAGAACAGAACATAAATAAATGCTAGCGACCGCAACGATTGAGTTTGAAGATGCTGTTAAAACTGTACTCAAAGAATATTTTCCGCATGTTGTGGAACTGAACACAGAGCAGCATTGAAAGCCTTGTTTGTAGAGAGAAGAGACACCTTCGCCATATTGCCAACTGGCTTTGGAAAGTCTCTGATATTTCAGGATGTGCCTCTCGTTGCAAAGAAATTAGGCGTTGTAGTGAAATGCAGTAGATAAGAAACACCGCAAGGCGCCGAGAACAAACAGCAACAAACACAGTAAATCAGTTATAGCTAAATTTCACCCGGCATACGGGGCTTCGCTTGTCGCTGTGGTGACCTTCCAACGTGATGATTCTAACCGCCCCGGTGTCCAAGCGCGCTGCCTTCACAGTGAGGAAGTAGACTTTGAAAGTACACACAATTTATGAGGAAAATTACAAAAGACTTATTTTAAGTTGTATACGAAATTTGATAATGATTAACATTTAATAACTGCATTGTGCTAACTTTAATTTCATGCTTCGCACATGTTTTTTGCTGCCAAATGGCGTTTTAAACCTGATTTGATTGTTATCTTGAGGCAGAAAAGTCTATTACCACTGTATTAAAAATGTCGACTTTCAAGAACTTAATAAAACACATTTGCTTTAAGATTTCCCAAAACTCCTCTGACTACTGAGTTTCTTTGTTATTTATCTGACAGTTTTGTTTCACAGGCCTAGTCTGTTAAATAGACTTCAGTTCTTTCAAGTAAGTTCACCAGAACGAGAATGGGGCGCACTAGACCAGACTCTCTATTATTTTATATAGTGAGCCTGGTACCCAGGGTACCAAAAAATAAACTTTCATTAATGGAAACAACAAACATTTTTGATCAGGAGTGTCAGTTTTTACCTGTTTTTTTGATGCTGTGCTGTGGATGGATGCAGTGTACAAATAAATGCACTAAATGTGGTCCTGAATATGCCAAAAAATGCCATAACTTTAAAATCTTTATTCAATAGTGATAATGGCGATTGCCGATGGAGTACAGATTTACATGGGCAAGTAGTTGCTTCCTTTGAATAGTTTTGATGTCATCATTTTCAAGTCGACTAATCTATACAAACAATTTCAAAAGAAAAGTTTATTTCGTTCGCGTTTGTTCTGCCGTACATTAAAAACTCTCCTGCCGTTCTTCAGCTCGTTTCTAACAGCAGAAGTGATCCTCTGATAAATTTCCAAATTTTTAGAGGCTTTACTGTTTGTGAAAATAAGCTCTCTTCGGTAGCTTTCGTTGTTGCATATTACGTCAACATCTTCTTTGACAATCTGTTCTGGTCTGGCCATGTTGCTTTGCGCCCTCTTCCTTTTCACTTTCTTGCAAATCTTGTCTTGATGCTCCCTCCTCATCGTCTTCCGCTTTGTAAAACTCAAAAGCTTTATCAATTATAAGTATGGTTAATAATGCAGCCTGTAATTAAAAGCTTGTCTTGATAAAGGGCTTCCTGGGGCAAATTCTCAGGGCTTTTTCTTTTTTCCTTCAGCGTTGTAGAACCTTGTTCTTTTAAAGCTTATCTTGTGTCCCAGACCCCTAACTTGAAAGTAGAGGTCTGGGACACAGGCTATCAAAGCTTGGCCTAAATCGCGAAACTTCTCTTCAGCATCGTTACAACTTTAATCAGGCATGGTTTCTGTTTGTACCATCTGAGAGGACAGATATTTTCTGAATGCAGCCATTTTGACTTGTCTTTTTGGCAGTTTCTTGTTTTCAACGCATGCGCAATGTTAATTAATCGAGTAAAATCATGAAAAATTGCTGGAAATGGTAAAAATTAAAGCATACTTTGATTCATAATGCGCTGATAATGTGTCCAAGTGAGCGCATTGTGGGCGAATTTGACCTAGACTTTCTCCTCTATCTTTTAAAAAGAAGATATCTAAAAAGCAAGATCATACTTTCTTAGGCAGAATCCGAGCAGAAATTGGCTAAAATTTGCTTAGCCAGTAAAACTAGAACTTTAGCTCAAAAGAGAGAATTAATGAAGAGAAAATGCTTTCTTCAGTCAGCTAAACGAATGCATAGGTAAGCAGTGAGCATCAAACCAACTGTGGTACCAAGCTTCATTCAAACCAGAAAATTAGCTTTGTATGAAGGGGCGTAGCTAGAGGGGCTGAGGGTCTACAGAATCGGTAGTTGAGATAGCATCTAAATGACTCTTCATGTATGTCTTCGTTGGTAAATTTCGATTGCCTTCAACTCCCCCCCCCCTCCAAGTTTAAAAGCTCAAGTTCCACCACTGTCTTTATGCAGTCTGGAGAGATACATCATTCATGACAGAAGCCGTGTGGAAAACGCACATTCAATCCACCATCCATAGCACACACTGCGGTATAAACCACGTCCTTGAACTCAACCACAGGCATTGGCATTATATACGAAACCTGCTCCAGTGTATACCTTTCTTGTTAATAGAAATGCAAAATTTTTAATGGCATTCATTGAATCATGTTTAATCATTTATCTTTGAAACGATAAGTTGATTGAATTTCATAGCATTTGGAATATAGCCTAGGACTCTAGGGGACACGTGTTTTGTTTAACATTAGATTCATTTCTTTTGCTTTGCTTCAAGAGTATAGCTCTATCGTTTCTATGCTGCTGCAATCGCGAGTTATGTTAAAATTTGACACACAAACTGTTTTCTGGTTTTTTACGCAAACCTTAGAACCATTCCTATTTTATACTGTTGACTTTTCAGCGCCTGTTTTGATATTTTTCAAATTTTTCGTCAAGTGTTGATCGATAAAAAACAACAAATATCAATTTGCAAATTTGTCTTTACCAAACAATTGAACTGCTAGGAAACGAAGCGTTCTTGTGAATTCTCAAATACGAAAAAGGCATTTTGGGAAAACCCGCTTTTACATAAAGAACTGTTTGTTCAGCGATACATTTTATGCAATTTTGATGCTCAACTTTGAGTGAGTCCATTATACTTTCGCTATTACGCGGATTTGGCCTGAGTTTGAGTGTGGTTAATGATTAACGGCGTTGATGAGATATCGGACATAGGCAAAAGCTTTACTCTTGAAGCAAAGCATAAGAATACAATTCTAATGATGAACAAAACACGTGTCACCTAAAGTTCTTTCCTTCTACAGAACTCCCTTGTACAGTTTCTTTTAATGTTTTGAAATTGAACAAAAAAATGTTTTTATCCGTCAATCAAATTACGTATACTTTTTTCAAACTAAAATTTCGTTAAAGCGTTTTAAATTTCCCAAATTTGATATGCAAATGTTTTGATGTGCCTCGCTTTTAGGCTCTCGTACAGTAGTACATCGTTTGCTGGCTAAGCAAGTTTTAGCAAATTTCTGCTAGGTTTCTGCCTAAGAAAGTATGATCTTCATTTCTGGATATATCTTCTTTAAAAAAGATCGAGAACAACCTCAAGTCAAGCATTTTGTGTGACAGTCAAATTGTCTAAAGCCCTGTTAAAACGCTATTTCATTGAACATCGCTCAACATTTGTACAGTGATGTTTAGTGATGTTTAGCGATGTTGCATCGGGATGTTAAAACGCTCTCAACAATTTGACTCAACATTCGTTGAGCGATGAACTTCAGACTCTCAGAGATCCAAGACAAGGGAATCCGCTGTTTAGATAGGGTGTTTTGGAAGATGAACTTCGGATACTCTTCCCCTTTAACAGTAGCTGCCTGATGATTTCCTAAGGTCAGGATTTTGGTCTTGCAATTTGCTTTGAATTGCTATCTCATCCGACTTGCTTTCACTGCCAACTGTTTGCAAGAGTTTGTCATGGTGTGCCATTACGATTTATAAAATTCAACTTCTCAAAACCTCTTGGTCTGATCTGAGATCTTGACGGGTTCTTTGCCGCGCAAAATCCAAGTCTTGTTCAATCTAGGTGTGCATTGACGCTCACAAAGTCACAAAGTTTTGCTGCTTTTAATGGTTTTACTTAAAGTGAAAAAGCCAGCCTGAGCTTCAATTTAATGGTTCTTAATATAAGATAAAATTCTCATTAGACAGTTCAGAAATGCCGCCAATGCTTATTCACGCCATCTAAAGAAGTAACTTCTCTAGAACGATCCAAAGACCTGTCACCATAAGCATAAAGAAAAACGCTTGTAGCATTGCAATTGAGGTATTAATATTATGGAAACTTAAGGCTAAATGGTTAAGTTTGATAGCATTTTGATAATCAGGAAACCTAACAATCGCACGGAGGCACATCACTTTCATGCATAGACGATAAAAATTTTGACATTTAGATAGTTTTGAAATCAAAATGCCAGTTTTATAGCCATGCAGGAGCATTCATAATACATACACTAACAAACAAGTACATAGCTTTAAAACGGTATACTATTTTCCTGCTAAAGTCAGAGCAATGTAAAGAAAGAAACAGTGGTCAAACTTGATCAGCACTTTCTAATAACGACATCACTCAGCTTTTGCTATAAGGCATACTTTACCACTATGTACCGGGAAAGGATGAATCATGTTGAGTCTTGATTGTTTTTGTAAGCATGCAATGTCTAGAGGAGGGCTTAATGTAAGCTAATTTATTAATCTCGAGTTTCAGGTTGATCAAGGATATGGTCTGATCATCATTTCTGAGAACCTGATTGTGCCAAATTTGTCATCCATCGATTTCCATGACATTCGTGACGCACCCTCGACATCAGGGGTACTCACATAAGGGACTTTGTCTTGATGATCGCTGTTCAGGTTCGCATTAAAGCATGCGTTTGACCACCAAGGGCCGCGATATTCCACACAGCACTGTCTATCACTCCAAGCATCATTATCTCGATCTGGCGTGGAGAATGCTGCTCCATAGCTTCTTCTCAAAGAATCACCAATGTTACCTTCATATGTACCGAATGTTATCTTGTATTTCTCATCCTCGCTGCCAATTTTGAAATTAGAATACTTTGCAAATCCACTGATTCCGTTAATATTTCTCACTTCGACGCGGAGAACCATGTTATCTGCACTCTGAGTCATCCAGTGTAGATATTTCAAGCCAATCCAAAAGCTCCCATCAACATCCCCGAATCCGTTAACGTAATCCGTCCAATTTCGATAAAAATCAGTTGCATCCACTCGTCTCTGGAACACCAGCCAACCTCCGTTGTCGCTGATCATGTTACAGTAACCCAAGAAGGAAGATCCATTCTTCAGCGACAAATCCACCTTTATACTCGAGTTGATTCCCCATTTCTTCAGTTCGTTGCAGCTTTTAAAACCTGATCAAGAGGGAAGATAGCAAAGAGATTAGATTTCATTCTCCGGCAAAAGTTTTCTTAACATTTGAATTCACAATGAAAGTCGCTTCTAGCAAGTCACGTTGTCCACAGTTTTAGGTAACCTTCAGCCCTCAAATTACAAATGTTTCATTGGATTCTTTTGTCATTGGATTCTTTTCTCATTTGACCATCATACAATCAAATAATAAATCTAAATTCACAGTTGCGCTCTAGTCAGGGAAATGTTTGCTACAAGATTTTCTATGGAAGAAATACTTTTTTGGCAAAATTAGATGCACTACAGATTCATGGATTAGAGGTTCAAAAGAATTTTAGTCCTGTAAATGCTTAAAATTAGGGCAAAAGCATTATTAGTTGTGAGTTCTAAATGCTTTTGGTGGCGAATATTCTGATATCAAAAGATAAAATTCGTTTTTTGTTTCTTTTATTTGCCAAGCTGCATTGAATGAATTTGAAACTTCGCATACTCGCATACAATTATTTTTGTATTCAAGACTCGACAATAAATAATTAACTTTCTTTGTGATGAGAATCTTTTCACAAGTAGTCTAGTATAACTATCATGATGAATCTTTGTGTCACTTTCAGAAAAGTGATAGATGAGAAGAAATATTCCATTATTTTTGTCACATAGAGCCATTATTATTACATTTGTCCAACCTGTTTCTTTCTTTTCGAAAACTTCATCGTACTCTGATAAATTGCCTCCTTTGCCGACTGCAGATAATTTTTCAGTGCCTTTCCTACTGCCGAGTATTTTGCATTCATTATCTCTGCTGCATCTCAACATTTCTTCTTGTAGTGTAAAATCTTCATCTTTGCTGGCTGAAGTGCTTGATCTGCTGCTTTCTGTGGTAATTTCTCTAAAATGTGTCCCGGTAGTGAATATGTTAAGTATTCTTCAAGCGCTAGTTCAAGATACGTATTTAATTGCAGAGTTGTGCTCAAAAAGAAACATCTTCCAGGTTCAACATCAAAAATTTCAATTCTGAGACTTCCATTCTGTTAACTCTAGTCTCAAACTCTCTACTCTAAGTTAAATCACACGTGCATATATACGTTTTACAATAAGTATAAAAATAGCGTAACCAATAGGAATTAAGAAAAACAATTCGTCAAACCAATCAGATTTTACCAAAACATAAAAAGTTAAATCTCTCTAACAATAGATTGACGCCAATACTCAATACCTGTGAAGCTTGAATCTTGAGTCAGTTTCCTAACGACTCTTGAAACGAGGTTATTACGTGCATTAAAGTCATGTGTAAAGAAAATACCTTGAGTCACAAAGCTAAAGCCGATAAGCTCAAACTAAATGAATGAAATATTGTTAACTACATCCATACAAAAATAATAATTGCTGTGCGTGGAGTTTTCCCCGACAGAATATTTCGGCAACAATGAACCATTTCCAAGAAAAACATACCAATGTGACGAGAAAAAGCAACATACCAGATGAAAATCGCATCTTTGGTGCTGTGCAATATTCGATTTGACCCCTGCTTTTTTTGCAAATGCATGCAATAAGATAACAGCAAATGAAACCAACCTTGTCACACTGAATAACCTCTATGTCGTCACCTTCTCTTTGCTCCTTGAAACCATATTTTCAAACATAGTATCAAATATTAATCAGATGTCTTAACCGTAACCTGCCTGACATAATTACATTCCCTAGAAACACTGTTTCAGTTTTTGCATTGCCATTTTCGCTTGTTGCTCAACAGCAGAAAACAATCTGAAAACTAATAGGAATAATTGTAGATTAAGATGAATTGCTTTCTGCTATCTTTTTGTTGCTCGTAGGGTTGCCTATGCTCCTTTCACAGATATACTGAAAGAGACCACGATCGAGAGTTACAATAACATATGATATCAAAATTGCATAACAACAGCGATTTTAACATGGTGTGGGTTATGAAACATTGTCTTGTCATGTTAACCTGCTACGATCAAGTTTATTATGCTGTATAACTATAACCTGGATTTCGTATCATTTAATGAATTCTATATGCTGTATAATTGCAATCGTTTATATTTGTCTTGTACCCATATGCTTGTTGCGCTGCCTTAAGCTTGCATGTAGTCTTTGTTAAATTTTATCTTATATGTGAATCTTAATTTAAGCGGTCCAGGGTCGATAAATTTGCTTTTTGTTTCGCATATAATACAAATTTAGCTTTTGTTATATTTCAAGGTTCCATAGGGAAAAAAAGTTGAATTGAATTGAACTGAAATTTTTCATCTTAAAGGTTATTTATTTGAAATTCAACTCAAATCAAAGATTCCAACCTGACTTCATTTTGAAGCTTACTTTTAATTGACGCATTGTCACCAGCGCTCATTTGTACTTTAGGTACTCTTTCTCTCTAATCTTAACACCCCTGAAGTATTTGCTTCACCAGGTCACAGCCGCACCCCTATTTATACATGTGGCCTACGGACTTGGCGATGGTATTACTGTGTCATCAACATAAGATGCGTTGCGTCTTTCCACTTACAAAGTGGATGTGTTTCCACAAGAATAGGCTGTCAATAGATGTTGAAGAACACTTTGATCCAAGCAACCAAGATATGAAGTGTAAAGTGTTCAGTGAAACTGTGATGTAGCTGATTAAGTATTTTGACATTATGAAGAACATCATTGATATTTTTTGTGCGCACCATTGCCACAGGGGTACAAAACATCTACTCTTACATAAGGATCTCGTTAGTCTACCCCTTTCATTTAGCTTGACATAACTAGTCAAGATTTGCTTAATCACATCAATCATTCAAATAGACTGTAAAAGTCGCCCATACCTTGTAGAGTTTAGATGGATGCAACTGGACAAGGCTCATTAGAAAAATCTACTGCTTTTTGTATTTGTTCTAAGTTTTGGACAAAAGTTCTGATCTGAGATCTTGACGGGTTCTTTGCCGCGCAAAATCCAAGTCTTGTTCAATCTAGGTGTGCATTGACGCTCTTTGTGATTCAAGAACAACTAAGAACAACTCTTTGTCCTGGGAAATGACTTTAAACTACATCCGTCGGTAAGGCTATGGTTCGGGAGATCCAGAGTTTTGGGGATAATGGAGTTACCTCTTAATTACCACTACTCTCAGGTCCACCCTGTCCCGGGGTGGTAGCACCTGCAAGGGTCCCAGATATGGGTCAAATATCGTTCCTGGGGTATGAACTTAAACTACATCCGTGCGCCACCGACAGAGCAGGGTGGAGATGCTTTAGCAGAGATTTGGTCTTGCTAAATAAATGATGAAGTATCGTGCACTATGACTGCTGGCAAAAATATGGTACAACCAGATGAATGGCGGCAATCAAACTCTAGTTAGTTGAGAACTGCAATCTGTAGAAAGCAACGGCAAACTACTACAGTATCCTGCCAAGAAAATGTTATGAAAATGCCAGTCTCAAGTAAAATAGCTATAGTTGCCTGAAGATGTGCCCCTCAGGTCGGATGGCACTCAACTTGCTACTGAGGAAGGGTGCAGCTCTGGATTGAGTAATTCTAGCAATAATGAAGCTGTTGTACTAAACCCATTGGGGCCAGGGCATTTTTTAACATTGTAACTACTGGGCCACTGGCCCAGTGGGCCCCTCTTCCGGCCCAGTAAAAAAGCAAAATTTAGGGCTTTCGGCCCACTAGTTTGGGCCCTTTTCACAAATGTTTTTTTCAAAATGTAAAAAGTAAAAAATTAGTCTTTCACATTGTGCCACTTGTTGAGCACAGAAGGAAAGGCCCTTTGCATATCTATCCTCTTTCTGGGTTTTCTGTCGAGGCTCTATGTTGCTATGGTTGCTAGTTTATCTTTGGTGTTGTCATGGTCATTTTAGACTGTGTTCTAAAATCGAAATAGAAAGATCAAAAGTTTGTCAGCTAGAAATCCATGTTAGAAATGAAAAGAAAAGCAACAAAGAGTGGTCACGAGAAACGTTTGGGAAAAAAGAAGAATGAATTGAAAGAGGCTGCCACTGCAAGTGGCCAAACATCGCTACTCTCCTCGTTTGGATTTACCAAATCAAACACCAGCAGTCGGCCTAAGACTGCCAGTCCTATTGATGGCGAATCAACAAGCGATCAAAACTCATCAACTGCAGTACCCGTTGCTGAGGTGAGTACAGCTTCTGACTGTTTCATCGATTCAATGAAAGATGATAAAAACGTCAACGAATATTTTCTTAATACTCAGGAAAATTATGTCATTGACGATGTCGATAGTGATGATACTCATGCAGACATAGGCCATGGCCTTGGCCTTGCTGACGCCGAAACTTCGAAACCAGACAGTGCCTCGTCAAAAATCGATTCCACAGATGATCGTTGGTACAAAGGCAAAAAATTAGACTTGAATTGGCTGCTTTTAGCTGAATCTTGCCTGGAATTAAGTAGGGAAGAACAGAAAGGACAAAAAAACGACGACGTCCCGTTGTCACTTGCTTACTTTGCAGCAAGTATGAACCTGAAGTGAAAAGGTATGCCACTAATGGACGAATACCAGTTGCCAGTGGAGTCCGGGTTGATGGGAAAGACAGACTGTGTTTACTTGTTGATCATTTGCTTTCCTCTGCTCACAATGAAGCATTAAGATTGAAGAAACTTGAAGAAGCGTGGAATCTCTCGTCAGACAGTCATCCTTGGGTCAAAGTTATGAAACAATGCAAAATACAAACATTAGAGTTTCTTTTACGAATGGCTGTTGATGTTTACAATGATTGTAGAACGGAAACACTCAGTGCAAGAAGTTGGCCATCAAGGTCTTTGGCAACTGAACATAGCAATGCTTTACTCCATAATTTTGAGACAGAAGGATGACACACAGATTTTGTTCCTTTTAGTCAACCAAGCTCTGTATACCATTATAGGGATCCAGTAACCTATGCAGCAATGAGAGACATAGTTGCTAAGCAAGAGATGAAAAAAACTGCTGATGTATTAAAAGATTATCTGTGCTTTTCTGTTCAAATTGATGGAAGTGCTGACAAGCAGCAGGTTGATTCTAAATTTATAACAGCAAGGTTAGTCCCAACGAATGAAGTGAGTGTGAAGACCGTTTTTCTTGGCATCGCCAGCAGTGATTTAGGAGGAGCTGAAGGACTTCTTGATTCATTTATTTCGTGCTTGAAAAGTGTTGGTGTGGAGACAGAGAAGCTTGTTGGAGTCACCACTGATGGAGAAAAAGCAAACACAGGCAAAAACGCAGGATTATGGACATTGCTCAAACAACATATTGGCAGGGATATCTTGACAGCGTGGTGTGTTTGTCATCGTTCAGATTTGGCCCTTGAATCTGTTCAATCTGAGGTCCCTGAACTCCATCTCTGGATGGCTGATGTTCTTGCTCTTTCGACATTCTTCCACTCATCCCCACGTCGCACAAAGTTGCTGCACAAAGAAAATGATCAGGCTCTTGCTTTTCCAAAGCATTTTGAGGTCAGGTTTGCAGAGCACACTTTGAATTTGCTGAAAGCAATTTTGAATAACCTGGAAGCAGCAAGAAGGCTTTGGACAAAAATGACAGATGGAACCATAAATTCGGACAGAAAAGAAAGCTCATCTGCAAAAGGATTTCTTATGAAATGGGGCAATGGCACACAGCAAGTGTGGTTGACCACTGTTATGCATGATCTGTGCAAAATTTTCAAGAACTTACAGAAAATTTTTCAAAAATCTGACCTCATCCTACTGGATGTATTAACAGCCAGGGATGCAGCTATTGTCAACCTGAACGTCATGAAGGAGATGCCAGTGCCTGGTGGGCAGGAAGAGAAATACTTGAAGAACTTAAACTCAAGTAAAGAAAGCAGTGGAGAAAGAAATATCAGAAAAACCAGCCAGGCTCATAGGTTTGTCACATCACTACGCAGAGAAGATGGTCCAATCAGAGTGGAAATTGTTCAATCAGCAATAAACTTTCTAGACCAGCGCATGAACATTGAGCAAGATGAAACAATCAACAATTTAAAAAAGATATTGGATGCAAGTTCACCAGCGCAGATGATAAATGCCAGCAGAGATCTTGTGAGCCAGATATTTGGAGAGGACAAGGTTGAAGAGTTTGTCTCTGATGTCTGCATGTCATGGACAAACCTAAGCAAAGTTCAAGTCTATAGCCAGATAGAAGATTCTGGCACACTCTATGCATTGAAGCTGAGAAAAATGACAGAGGCCAGCATTGGTTTGCTCAGAAAATTCCTTGCTTCCTTCCTCACCTTGACACCACATAGCATGGCAACAGAGAGAGCTGTCTCCCATTATAATAATATCAAAATATCCAGCAGAGCATCACTAAAGCCAGAATCAATTAACAGCTACATGCATGTCTCTCTCAATGGCACAGGGACTGCATATTTTGACCCAAGACCTGCAGTTTTCGAATTTCTCAAGAGCAAAGACAGACGTAAAGGCCGGTTTACACGATCATATTCAGGTCACATTTGCATCACATATTTTATGTTATCACAGAATGTGATCGTGTAAACGACCTTACAAGTTGCTTGAAGTTGCACGAAACAGCAAGAATTAATCCTTTTTAATTGCCTGTTAATTCGATGTCACAGATTTTTCATTTGACTAGCGATCAAATGGAAATGTCTGTGATGCAATTTTTTCAAAGGCGCCGACAAGTCTTTGCTGTCCTGGGTAGATCGGGAACTGTTTCGTGTTCATTTGTATCGACGTATTTGAGGAAAGTGACCTACGTTTCTAGAAAGATGGGCAACATTGACGTGGAATCAATTCCTGATACGCAATCAGAAGACTACGAAGAGCCTGCATTCTCATTTCAGGCCATTAAATCAGCTGCAGGCAAACCGTACCAAAGCAGAAGGAAAGTTAAGAAATTCGAATGGAAAGACAAAATTGTCGAGTTGGTTATTGACCTGTGGCAAAATCAGCCATTGTTATTTGAATTTGAATTTTAGGGTGCCCGTCAATTTTCGCGACGATACCCTTGAGATCAGTTCAAAATACATTTGAGAATATCCCCCCCCCCCGCTACGCTACTTATAAGAAGATAAATACTGATAAAAATAAATAAAGTAAAATCTTAGCGCTATTTTTTTTCCATTGACTACCAACAAATGATTTTTACCGAATGAAACAAAATTTACCGAGCTACAGCTCTCTTATCTTCCTCGCTCTCGACTTCCATTGACAACAAATGAAACGTAAAAATTGAATGAAGGCAGATCACTGATAAAATGCGCGCCAAACAGTTCCCGATCTACCCAGGACAGCAAAGACTAATCGGTGCCTTTGAAAAAATTGCATCACAGACATTTCCATTTGATCGCTAGTCAAATGAAAAATCTGTGACATCGAATTAACAGGCAATTAAAAAGGATTAATTCTTGCTGCTTCGTACAACTTCAAGCAACTTGTAAGGTCGTTTACACGATCACATTCTGTGATCACATAAAATATTTGATGCAAATGTGACCTGAATATGATCGTGTAAACCGGCCTTAACAGAGAGCCAAATTCAGAGATCTATAGAGAGAGGGAATTCATTAAAAAGTTCTTTTCGAGTGACTCTGGTTGTCTGTGACGGGGCATTTTCTGGACATTAGAAACTTTATAGAAACTTTTAAATGTTAAACATATTATTAAAGTTTTATTGAATTGTTATTCTTGTTATACTCATTTTCGTAGCTTTATTCTTTTTATACTCATTTTCATTTTTTTGAGTCAAGGGGTCAAGGGCTCTGGTCGCGAAAAAGTGGGCCCTCTTGAGGATTTGGCCCACTAGTCAAATTTCCTTAAAAAATGCCCTGATTAGGGCGTATGATAACTGACACTGCAGAGGATGAAAAACCAAAGCAGTTCCGCAACAACAAAAACCACACAATTGCGACCTGGAATGTTAGAACGATGAATCAAGGAAAGTTGGAAGTTGTAACAAATGAAATGGACAGAATAAACTTAGACATACTCGGAATAAGTGAAATGGAATGGACAGGGTGTGGGGATTTTAGATATGGTGATCACACAGTGTACTACTCAGGACACCAACAATACAAGAGAAATGGAGTTGCCATTATTGTCAATAAAAAGATAAGCAAATCAGTGCTAGGATATAAGATGGTTAATGACAGAATAATTGCATTAAGACTTCAAGGACACCCTTTCAACACCAGTATAATACAAATATATGCACCAACCACATATGCCGATGATGATGTAATAGAACAGTTTTACACAGAGCTACAGGAAGTGCTAGATAATATACCAAAGAAAGATATGTTGTTTTTAATTGGAGACTGGAATGCAAAAGTGGGAAATATTGAAGAAAAAGGAGTCACTGGAAGATTTGGACTAGGGGAGCAAAATGCTGCAGGAGAGCGATTAATAGAATTCTGCATTGATAACGAATTGTTCATAGCCAACACTATGTTTTTCCAACACAAACGCAGACTATATACATGGACATCACCAGATGGTAAATATAGGAATCAGATTGACTATGTCTTGGGCAGGAAGAGATGGAAAAGTGCGATACAGGCAGTCAAAACTCTTCCTGGAGCTGACTGTGGAACAGATCATGAGCTGCTTCACGCCACTATCAAAGTAAAGCTAAAAAAGAGAAGACAGCAACATGCGCAAGCTAGATATGATTTAACAAAGATACCGCCAAACTTTACAATCGAGCTATCGAATCGTTTCTCATGTCTAGAATCACAGGACACTAGTGTTGAACAATTATGGCAGACAACAAAAGATATCATCGTTGACACTGCGGGAAAAAACATTCCTAAGAAAGAGAGAAAAAGAAAATCACATTGGTTATCACAGAAAGCTATAGAGATTGCTGAAGAACGACGAAACGCTAAAAAACAAAAAGATTTCTACACATTTAATAACTTGAACAGAGTATTTCAAAATCAGGCAAGGAAGCATAAAGAAATATACTTGAATGATATTTGTAGGAATATGGAAGAAAATCAAGCAAAAGGAAAATCAAGAAATGTATTCCGCGCTATTAAACAGATCACAGGAAAGTTTACACCTCGCATGGCAACAGTGAAAGACCAAAATGGTAAAGTTCTCACAGAGGGGAAAGAGATACAGGAGAGATGGAAACAATACACACAATGCTTGTACAGCAGGGATGCAGACATATTCAATGATTTCACAGAAGAAGAATTTACAGAAGAACCGGAATCAACTCTAGCAGAAATATAACATGCCATTAAAGAACTTGCGTGTAATAAAGCTCCAGGTATTGACAACATCCCCATTGAACTGGTAAAAAATACTGGCAAAGAAACACTCAACATCATATGCAAGCTGTGTCAGCTAATCTGGAAAACCACTGAATGGCCAGTAGATTGGAAAGATCTGTCTTCTTGTCGCTGCCAAAGAAAGGCGATATTAGAGAATGTTCAAACAATCGAACAATATCCTTAATTGTTCACATGAGCAAAATACTTCTGAAGATAATCCAGAAAAGACTAACACCCTATATTGACAGAGAAATATCAATTGAGCAAGCTGGATTTATTAAAGGAAGGGGAACTAGAGACCAAATCGCAAACATCAGATGGGTAATGGAAAAGGTACGCGAAGTAAAGAAAGAAATATATTTTTGTTTACGGCAAAGCATTTGACTGTGTAGACCATAACACTATGTGGTTTGTGATGAGAAAGATGGAAAATCCAGAACATTTAATAATCTTGAATAAGAATCTTTACCATAAACAAAAAGCGCATGTACGAACAATGTATGGGCCAACAGATTGGTTTGAAATCAGCAAAGGAGTGAGACAAGGCTGTATTCTATCTCCATACCTATTTAATTCTCCATACCATAGACGGCAGAAATTACCAACTTTGAAGTAGATGGGGAATCCATCGAGGTAGTACAGGAATTCAATGTTCTTGGCTGTACATTAACCAGAACCTCTGATCACACAAAAGAAATTAGAAGGAGGCTACTGCTGGGTAGGAAGGCTATGAACAATTTGACAACGATAATGAAAGACCAAAACATCACACTAAATACCAAGATAAGAATAATCGAAGCATTAGTATTTCCTGTTGTTTCATATGGAAGTGAGACATGGGTAATAAGAAAAGCAGAAATGAAAAAGATTGAAGCCTTTGAACTTTGGGTATGGAGAAGACTCCTAAGGGTGCCGTGGACATCTAGAAGAACGAATGAATGGGTACCAGGCCAAATAAAAACAGAAAGATCATCATTCAACACCATCAGAAAGAGGCAGTTAACCTATTATGGCCACATAAATAAAGCAGACAACAGTTTAGAAAAACTGATAATGCAAGGAAAAATTGAAGGGAAAAGAGGAAGAGGAAGACCTGCAACAAAGTGGTTTGACAACATTAAGACGATCAAAACAAGAAATGTTTATCAGCTCAACAAAGACACTAAAAATAGAGCTGAATGGAGACGTCAGGTTCATAACAACACCAGGGGTCGAACGACCTGAAGAACAACTACAACAACAAGAACAACACAGTCACAAAGTTTTGCTACTTTTAATAGTTTTACTTAAAGTCAAAAAGCCAGCCTGAGCTTCAATTTAATGGTTCTTAGTATAAGATAAAATTCTCATTATACAGTTCCGAAATTCTGACAATGCTTATTCACGTTCCAAACTACTCTAGAACGATCCAAAGACCTGTCACCATAAGAATAAAGAAATACGCTTGTAGCAATGCAATTGAGGTATTAATATTATGGAAACTTAAGGCTAAATGGTTAAGTTTGATAGCATTTTGATAATCAGGAAACCTAACAATCGCACGGAGGCACATCACTTTCATGCATTGAGGATAGGAATTTTGACATTTAGATAGTTATGAAATCAAAATGCCAGTTTTATAGCCATGCAGGAGCATTCACAATACATACACTAACAAACAAGTACATAGCTTTAAAACGGTATACTATTTTTCTGCTAAAGTCAGAGCAATATAAAGAAAGAAACAGTGGTCAAACTTGATCAGCACTTTCTAATAACGACATCACTCAGCTTTTGCTATAAGGCATACTTTACCACTATGTACCGGGAAAGGATGAATCATGTTAAGTCTTGATTGTTTTTGTAAGCATGCAATGTCTAGAGGAGGGCTTAATGTAAGCTAATTTATTAATCTCGAGTTTCAGGTTGATCAAGGATATGGTCTGATCATCATTTCTGAGAACCTGATTGTACCAAACTTGCCATCCATCGATAGCCATGACATTCGTGACGCACCCTCGGCCTCAGGGGTACTCACATAAGGGACTTTGTCTTGATGATCATTATTTAGGTTCGCATTAAAGCATGCGTTTGACCACCAAGGGCCGCGATATTCCACACAGCACTGTCTATCACTCCAAGCATCATTATCTCGATCTGGCGTGGAGAATGCTGCCCCATAGCTTCTTCTCAAAGAATCACCAATGTTACCTTCATATGCACCGAATGTTATCTTGTATTTCTCATCCTCGCTGCCAATTTTGAAATCAGAATACTTTGCAAATCCACTGATTCCGTTAATATTTCTCACTTCGACGCGGAGAATCATGTTATCTGCACTCTGAGTCATCCAGTGTAGATATTTCAAGCCAATCCAAAAGCTCCCATCAACATCCCCAAAACCGTTAACGTAATCCGTCCAATTTCGATAAAAATCAGTTGCATCCACTCGTCTCTGGAACACCAGCCAACCTCCGTTGTCGCTGATCATGTTACAGTAACCCAAGAAGGAAGATCCATTCTTTAGCGACAAATCCACCTTCATACTCGAGTTGATTCCCCATTTCTTCAGTTCGTTGCAGCTTTTAAAACCTGATCAAGAGGGAAGATAGCAAAGAGATTAGATCGCTTCTAGCAAGTCACGTTGCTCACAGTTTTAGATATGCCAGGCACTGTAACTTTCAGCCTTTAAATTACAAATGTTTCATTGGATTCTTTTGTCATTGGATTATTTTGTCATTTGACCATCATACAATCAAATAATAAATCTAAATTCACAGTTGCGCTCTAGTCAGGGAAATGTTTGCTACAAGATTTTCTATGGAAGAAATACTTTTTTGGCAAGATTAGATGCACTACAGATTCATGGATTATAGGTTCAAAAGAATTTTAGTCCTGTAAATGCTTAAAATTAAGGAAAAAGCATTATTAGTTGTGAGTTCTAAATGCTTTTGGTGGCGAATATTCTGTTATAAAAGTTACAATTGGTTTTTTGTTTCTTTTATTTGCCAAATTGCATTGAATAAAATTGGAAATTCGCATACTCGCATACAATTATTTTTGTATTCAAGACTCGACAATAAATAATTAACTTTCTTTGTGATGGGAATCTTTTCACAAGTAGTCTAGTATAGCTATCATGATGAATCTTTGTGTCACTTTCAGAAAAGTGATAGATGAGAAGAAATATTCCATTATTTTTGTCACATAGAGCCATTATTATTACATTTGTCCAACCTGTTTCTTTCTTTTCGAAAACTTCATCGTACTCTGATAAATTGCCTCCTTTGCCGATTGCAGATAATTTTTCAGTGCCTGTCCTACTGCCGAGTATTTTGCATTCATTATCTCTGCTGCATCGCAACATCTCTTCTTGTAGTGTAAAATCTTCATCTTTCCTAGCTGAAGTGCTTGATCTGCTGCTTTCTGTGGTAATTTCTCTAAAATGTGTCCCGGTAGTGAATATTTCGGCAGCAATGAACCATTTCCAAGAAAAACATACCAATGTGACGAGCAAAAGCAACATACCAGATGAAAATTGCATCTTTGGTGCTGTGCAATATTCGATTTGACCCCTGCTTTTTTTGCAAATGCATGCAATAAGATAACAGCAAATGAAACCAACCTTGTCACACTGAATAACCTCTATGTCGTCACCCTCTCTTTGCTCCTTGAAACCATATTTTCAAACATAGTATCTAAGTGATCAAATATTAATCAGATGTCTTAACCGTAACCTGCCTGACATAATTACATTCCCTAGAAACACTGCTTCAGTTTTTGCATTGCCATTTTTGCTTGTTGCTCAACAGCAGAAAACAATTTGAACACTAATAGAAATAATTGTAGATTAAAATGGATTGCTTTCTGCTATCTCTTACCGAGTTGCCTTTGCCCTTTTCATGGTGATATTGAAAGAAACCATGATCGACAGTCACAATTACATATCCCTCATATCTACAATAAAACTAATTCTTTGCCTGTTATATAAAATATATTCAAGACTACTTTTGAAAATTGCATAGCAACAACGGTTTTAACATCGTGTGATTTATGAAACATTGTCTTATCATGTTAACCTGCTACGATCAATTTTATTATGATGTATAACTATAACCTGAATTTTGTATCATTTAATGAATTTTATATGCTGTATAATTGCAATCGTTTACATTTGTTCTGTACCCATACGCTTGTTGCGCTGCCTTAAGCTTGCATGAAGTCTTTGTTAAATTTTATCTTATATGTGAATCTTAATTTAAGCGGTCCAGGGTCGATAAATTTGCTTTTTGTTTTGCATATAATACAAATTTAGCTTTTGCTATATTTCAAGGTTGAATAGAGAAAAAAAGTTGAATTGAATTGAACTGAAATTTTTCATCTTAAAGGTTATTTATTTGAAATTCAACTCAAATCAAAGATTCCAACCTGACTTCATTTTGAAGCTTACTTTTAATTGACGCATTGTCACCAGCGCTCATTTGTACTTTAGGTACTCTTTCTCTCTAATCTTAACACCCCTGAAGTATTTGCTTCACCAGGTCACAGCCGCACCCCTATTTATACATGTGGCCTACGGACTTGGCGATGGTATTACTGTGTCATCAACATAAGATGCGTTGCGTCTTTCCACTTACAAAGTGGATGTGTTTCCACAAGAATAGGCTGTCAATAGATGTTGAAGAACACTTTGATCCAAGCAACCAAGATATGAAGTGTAAAGTGTTCAGTGAAACTGTGATGTAGCTGATTAAGTATTTTGACATTATGAAGAACATCATTGATATTTTTTGTGCGCACCATTGCCACAAGGGTACAAAACATCTACTCTTACATAAGGATCTCGTTAGTCTACCCCTTTCACTTAGCTTGACATAACTAGTCAAGATTTGCTTAATCACATCAAACATTCAAATAGACTGTAAAAGTCGCCCATACCTTGTAGAGTTTAGATGGATGCAACTGGACAAGGCTCATCAGAAAAATCTTCTGCTTTTTGTCTTTGTTTTAAGTTTTGGACAAAAGTTCCATTTTACATTTGGTAACTTAAGTCTCTTTTTATAGAATCTGGATAGTTTTCTAAAGATTAACTTATCCTTTAGCAGTGTTCTTTATTTGCAACGGCTATTCTGTAAAAATGTTCAAACGTTTTAAGTGCAATCTTTGCAAAGCAAAACATGTTTTGTAACTTTCCCGTCGCATTGAAGCACTTTTCCGCATTACTAACAAAAAATTTATGTTACACATCTTATTGGACGGTGGACATGAAGAATCCGGACAGATACTATGTTTTGCTGGATTTCATATTCTCAGGATAGCGTTCCCTGGCCCTAGACGGCCAGTGATTCGTTAATGCAGTCAAAAAATCCTTGACGTGTATGACACGATATTAATCGGATTATTCTGACCGGATTCATCAGTTTCGCCTTATAGATTATTCCCACCTATCATGTGACAAATTTATTGCCGCCATGATGGATCACAAGCTAGTCTTGGATACACTTAGAAACGCATTATTTTTGCCATAAGGATTTTGAAACAGATAGTTTTCTTTGCCCATTTCGAAGCAGGATATATCTAGAATCCTTTGCGTATGTATTTCATTTAAGCTTAATCATTGATCTTGAGTTTGAGGTTGATCAAGAATCTGGTTTGGTTATCATTTCCGAGAACCAAGTCGCGTCATAATTTCTATCCATTAAATACCATGATATTCTTGATGCACCCTCCACTTCCGGGGTACTCACGTGAGAGACTTTTTCTAGATGATCATTATTCAGATCAAGGTTTCAAAGCTTCATCTTATCTAAACTCTCATCGAAAGAATCCAAATACTCAGAACTTTAACGATGTTGCTAACCACATTTTCTGATTTCAATATCTGTGAAGGATGAAGTGGCTTGTATATAGTTGATGCATTGGTAAAGTCGACCAACCTTAGCAAACAATTGGTGCTTTTAGCTTGTTCTGCATGTTTCAATGTCCATTTTGATTTTGATATTGCAATGTTGTTGTTTCTGCGTTGCCAATCTTCTACGACATTATAAGACAAACGTCGATTGACGTTGACTGTCTAATGAGTTTAGAGTCGTTCGTCAACTAATCACAGACAAGGTTATGTTACATTGAAATATTCACAAAATACACTTTTCTTAGCACGACAGCCAGCATTAGAAATGGTGTAGTTTTAGCGTGAACTTAACACTGAAGTGCTGAAATACTTATAGCAGCATTAATGCGATGTATTAAAACAGAAAGCCAAGATTTCCTTATAAAGTCAAGGGTAAAAGGGATCGTTTCTAACTTATTGTACTAAAATATGGTCTTACCTACTGTTGTCAAGCAAATAATGTAACTTGTGTTGTACCTAAAACGGAATATTCTTTTTTCTCCTCCACAGAGACAATACATCTGATTGATAACTGTTTCACCCCCCGTTTTCACACCTTAGGTCCCAGCAGATCACCGTTCACCATCAATTTTCCGAGCCCCTACATATGTAAGTACCTGAGTGTATCATTTGAGCAACGGAATTCACCTTCTTGCTAAATGCCCGATTCATTTTGTAATTTGAAGATTTGATTTCTTAGATGATGTTTCTATTTGTTAAAATGTTTTGGCAATATTAGCATCTTCAAATCGACGTTTTTTGTTCCATATTCGATAACTTATAAAAATTACTAAAAACTTTTTCATACCCAGCAGAACACAAGAAAACAAAGATATCAATGCAAATATAATTCATGTATTTAAGCAAATAGATTAAGCAGCATTGCATGAGCTAGCATAGCAAACAATCAACATCATTAAATAACTTCCGGGTTGTTAACCTTCATTTTTTGCAAGATATTCTTCCAAAGTGTTCTTGTTCTCTCTTCTTTTTCTACCTGCCATGCGTTGGCAGTCATTGCTTCCATCTGGCCAGCCTCCTTCATTGTGCTGGAGTGCCCGGTTTGTTCTGTCCTCCAAATCAAATAACCTAGCTGTCTCAGCATCCAAATCAAGAATAACTGGCTGTCTGAAAGACTTATCAAATGGCTCAAAATCTATCCATTCCACGTTTCTGATGTAAATATGACGTGAGTTACTTTCCAACCGTATGAGATTTCAAGACGCCATAAGCCACTGTCTACCTTTTTAAACATAGGCTTTCTCCTATTACTTTTTGCCCAGTTCCTAAGATCTTCAGAGAAACCAAAGTATTGTGTTCTTCTTTTGTTCCCCCTCTCATGTCAATAATGCACTCTCTAGCTGAGTTTGGATCTTGATTTTCTGGAATTCGTAACACAAGAGACTCTGATACACCAGCAGTACCTGGGAAATCTCTATTGAATCTGTATGCTTCTCTGTAATTTAATCTCTGCATCTCTCTCTTGACATTGATTACATATCTATGATCACGGCGAATATCCACAACCACTCTGGTCCCTCCATACGGTCTATCTTCAACCAGTTGTTCAAATGGCAAACCATTGATATCGATTTCGAAATTTTTACCTGGACATTCAGTGCTATCCCCTCCATCCTCTGCATTCAGTTTCAAGATCCAGTGATTACGAAATACCTTGAACAGAACAAGAGATCTTTTCCCTCTCTTCAAACATTTGTTGACGAAATCTTGCTTCATTATCAGAAGATCAACAGTGTTCTTCCTCATGTTTAAAGTCATGAAATACCTGCCTCTTTCAAACTTAGGTGGATTAAAGTAAATTCTGTACGGCTCGCATGCGGATTAACGTATATTTCGATCAAAATGATAATCAACGCCTTTTGATGGATTTCTAAGATAATCTGTTTCCCCGTCTGCTTCAAAAATATTGGGATACTTATTCAGTGGCCGCTCCATCCCATCTGCCTCGGTTCTTACGATAGGGTACCCGTCTAATCTTCTATTGAAGAAAACGGTGCCTCTAATTTGCCATCTCTTGCCTTGCTGTCGACCGTAAATATAAAGCATTATTGTTGATTCTGAGTACACCAGATGTGAGTTCTCAACTTTGCTTGCAAATGTGTGGCCTTCTTCAATCGTTATCTTCCCGGGAATCTTACACTGATCATCAATGGTTATGGCAAAAGGTCCCCAGCTTGTTGTTTTAATGATATATTCATTTCGACCTTTTGTCTGTCTTACAACTGAATCATGATCCATTGAAAGTTCAACAATATCGTCAAAGGGTGAGCCAACAAACATTTTAACTCCATCTATACATTTTAACCCCAGCGTAACTTTGTCACCCTACCGCCTGATTCTTTGCGATACCAAACTGCCCCTGCCTGCAAATCAAAGTGCACACCTTATATTCCATATTCATACCTTGTTTTCGTTGACATTCCCTCAAAAGAAAGTACATTCATTTCCTTCTTCATTGGGTTGACAGTGCGTTCAGAAAGCATGTTAGCTATTATCTTCATACCAAAAACTGGCTTGAACTTTGGGTGACCTGGCTTTCCAATCAGACCGTTTATTGCGATGACGTCATTCCCACCTCCTGTCTTAACCTGAATGGTTCTCTGACATATCATACATGTCATCAATTACCACGCAGTCGCCGTAATTTTCACTTTGGCTAAGTTACAATGTCCAAACCCTTGAGGACCAAACCAGACTTTCCAGCAACAAGGCTTGTTCCTGCAATTACTGTAGCCCCATTAAACTTTTCTTTCATTTTCTTCCCATAAAAGTCGTACCCAAGGTTAACTAATCCTTGTGGATTCCAAAATAAATTTCCTGGGTATCTTCCTTTGTCGAAAATTTTGTTTTTGCCAACAACCAAATAACCGTCTACTTCTCTAGGAGCTGGTTCCCTGCGAAACTTCACTGGGACACAGTTTTCTTCATCCCTTCCTTTCACATATTCCAACGCAAGTCCTTGATTCATTTCATATATCCACGAGAATGTAAAATTCGATTGGCTTGGAACCATTTCTTTCAATTTCTCTTCATCGACATATAGTAACTTT